GACGCTGGACCTCGGGAGCAACTCGATCGGGAAGGCGGGGGCGAAGGCGCTGGCGGCCGCCTCCAGGGCGCGGCCTACATTGGTCAGAACCTAAAACTTGGTTGGGACGGTTCTGGCAGAGGTACTGATAGCCGCCCTAGATCGAGGCCTGCGGGCGCAGCGCTGTATTACAGGTTGTCTTGACATGCTAGACCTATTGAGCTATTGATTAGCTCGATTTGGGATCACTCGTTACCTTGACTATGGATCTTGTTGGCAATCATTTCGCTTCACCTACATCGAGAGTACATGAGTCTCTGTTGTCAAACGCTGTCAAATGTTGCAATAGCTTACGAGTGATCCAATAGGTGTCCAATTGGCAAGTACAAGGTCATGTAGCTTGAGTAGAATAATGTGCAACCTGTTGTCGTTGTCTATGTAACTCCTATTCATGCCATCAAGTTTTGTTTGAACTTGAGCTGATCACAAGTTGCATGTTGAGGTTTAGCTGGTTGCGTCATCGGATTGTCATTGTGGTCAATTATAGTGATTTGGACAGCAATACCATCCAGTCAAGCCTGAAGATTGCGTTTGACGTCCCATACTGCCCGGAATCCTCCCGCCCATGCCCTCCTGAGCCATGCCACCCGGGAACCGAGGCACCTCTCAATATGACACAAGGGAGTTTTGCATCCGACTTCTAGAAGATGTATATATATTGGAGAAAATCCCCCCTAGTTGTTTGGCGAGTGCCGCTTAAATTGTGGCATTCGCTGCCAAGTGAACTGTGCATAACGTTCCAGCCCGCATCGATGTACGGCGGAATTCGGGCATACGGGGCGCTAGCAAGCCTGTCCGTGTCAGTCGGGGCGCTGAGGGGGCTCGCGAGCCTGGACCTGAAGAGATGCGAGGCGTTGGCGAGCCTGCCGGAGGCGGTCACGGTATTGATGGTTAAAGGTGACGCAAGAACGCAATTCAGCTTGGGCTGCTCCTACGCCAGCGACACGGGCGTGGAGAAGGACGAGGCGCGCGCCGCCGAGCTGTACTCGAAGGCCGCCGAGCGGGGCGACGCGGCGGCGCAGTGCTTCCTGGGCATGTGCTACGCACGAAGTAGGGGTGTCGATAAGGACGGGGCGAAAGCGGTCAAGTGGATGCGAACGGCTGCTCAGCAAGGGGACCCCGGCATTAAGGCCAATCTGGCGGAGTACTTGATGGAGGGTCTAGGAGGTGCACCAAACTGGGTCGAGGCGTTGCAATTGTTCCAGTCTTCGTTGGTTTCAAAGGCACCTTCGAAAGTCACGTCAGCTTGGATGCTCTACGGTGGTCAGAATGGAGTCCAACGGGACAAGCTGAAGGCAAGGACGATGTGCGAGGAGGTCCTGACGACGGAGGATCTGGAAGACCAACTCGAGAGTTGGGAAGCGGTCGGCTGGACTTGGCCAGCTGCATTGGAGTGGTTCCGAAGCGAAGTCTGGCGCACGGACGAACCGTCCGGCGAGGCCCTCGAGCGAGGCGAAGGCGAGAGGGGATCGCTTCGAAAAGCGGAGGGAAATGGGAGAGGAACTCCAGCGCATCTCGAAAAGGGCGCTCTGGCCGGAGCATCCAGACGTGGCGACTCTGCGGAAGAGAAGGGGGAGTCGCATAGAGGCGGTGCTGCCGTGCGAGCGAGCGCTGGACTTCCGAGAGAAGCGCTGGGCCCAGGGAGCCGGCCGAAACTTGCTACTCTGCGTCGCTTCTCTCGCGTTGCTATCATCGTTTCTGTCATCGTCGCCATTATTGCTATCGCCGTTGCCGTAAATCAGAAACAAGTCCGCGACACTTAATGCTTCAGTTTACCTCAGCTAGTCATCATCTACATCACTCTCTCCCGTCTTATTTTTTGGGTCGGACAGAATAGCGTCCGGTTTGGGCGACATTTCTCGCGAAAATGGTAATATACAGCGACGATATGAATGCCCGACGGTTTAGCAGCGGCGGAGCCTCGCATCTCTGTCAGCTTTTGATAATGCAACTTCTCGTATGACAATGCATTCTTGCGACCGCACAATGGTCATCACGACGCGGTGCACAGGCTTGTAAAAGAACGCCGCCACCACGTTGCACACCCGGATATCTGTCCCAGCAAGACTCAAAACCATGCAAATCTGCTGCTACACCACCGAATGGAACAGCCCAATTGCCTTCAACGACTGTCAACACTCGCAAATGTCTTGAATATAAGTTCATGCATGCAATTGGGGCAATTGCATTATGATCACTACTATACTCTTGTGGAGACAAAACGTATGGCCTACAGACGCATAGGGCGCTGTGGATGTTCAATTGTGCGCGCGCGGATCGCGGTATGTGGGAAGGTGCGCCCGACCCTCATTGCAACCGACCAGGCCGGGCAATGATCGTCCTCATGAGCATGTCGGGACTCTCTTGAATCGAGGCGTGTGCTAGGCGCCAACAAAATGCTGACGTACGTATTGACATGTGCCATTGAAGGTGACGTCACGCGCGCGCGTGATTGAGCCGCATGCCGGAAAGTCAACATGCTGTTAGCCGCCCGAGCGCGCTTGCGACTAGACCCGAAACCCCACATTTCTGTCCTTCCGGGCTGTCGTGCCATCTGCAGGTCAACGCACAGTCGCTGTGATTGGAGTAAATGCGGAAAATCTACGAAAAGTCAAGCGGGTCCCAGACCGCGAGTGGCAATTCAGGCTACCGCTGTTATTTCCTGACACGGTCAGGAATCGCGATCGTACCGAATCGTGGTGTGGGTGGTCAGTACCGTACGGTAGCCAAGTCGACCGGGACGCGGCGCACGACCAGCCACGATAAAAACCGCCTGCGTCGATAAAACTGACATCTACCGTACGTCTTATTTGACACTGCCGTTATAAGATTCACAAAACGGTGACCCAAAAGACCGATCCGGGTCGCATTCGGCACCTATCAAGCTATTTAGGGGCCTGCATCCCGGGCAAGATCGAGTTCGCGTGGACTCCGAACCCCGATTTACCGACCCATGATACCAAGTGGATCGCTGTCCGTAGCACGGATTGGTCGTTCCGTACGGAAGAACGATGGTTACGGCCTAGGTTGAGCAAATCTTGACCGGGTAAAGACCGAGTTAAGGAAGCGCTTTTCGGGGCAAACGTATTAAACTGAGTTCGATCTGACGGAAAATAGGCTCGAATTAAAGTCTTGATCGTCACGGACCAACATCGATCAACATCGAAGCGTTTAGAATTCTAGGTCGAAGCAATCGGACGGTTAAGGACGATGGATCTCAGAAACGCGAAATGAAGATGGTAAAGCGTCATCATCCAGAGTGACAGTGTCTAGATTCTAGAGCGTTCCTTAGAGCGTTCCCCTGCTAAGTAGACTTGCAAACACACCGTCAAACAGGCATCATACCACAGATTGAACACATATCTTCGAGGAGGGGCGGCAACGCAGTGAGCGGACAGCTCTTTCTTATGATGCGCGCATGCGTCCTTGAAGAGAAAGGTGCTCCGTCGACCACCGCGTTTCACCACGCAAATGCAATTCATTTGTGGGAACAGCCCCTCAAAGGATATGCAGAGTTTACATCAGGTGGGTTACGTCGTGTGTGTTTCTGAGCTTTCTGTGCGCATTATATGCTCCCACTAAGAGGGAGCGAATGTGAACCGCGCTCTGATCTCCAATCAAGTCCCACAATTGCCAGTACCCAAAGGCTGCTCTGAATCGTGCTGCATTGAGTTAATTGTATTTCACATTGCTCACATTGCTCCGAGTCAGGTTGAATGTGTGTACTAGGGGCTGGCATGCATTTGACTTGCAGCTGCGGATGATTCTGGAAGACAGCTCCTCAGGATGTAATGCAGAAAGTCTTGAGGCGGGTGTTCTTGCCCGTTAGGCTTCCCTTGCCAGATCTCTTGGATGCTGTCATAGGCCACAGAGGCTGAAAGTAAACACTTGCCAGCAAGGTAGGCAGACGCCGCCAGATGCTGGCCAGCTAAGGGCTCCAGATCTTAGCTTGTCTCCCTAAGCGAAATCTTACACAAGCATCTTGTCGCACGGAAAGCTAGTTTCAGGAAGTTTCCATGATTTATGAGCAGATTGTGGCAGCTTTGGCAGATCTAGAGTATCGTGTCATCGCTGCTTTTTGCTTCGGGCCCTGGCATTCTACATAGTCGACTCCAGTACCCGCCAGCTCCTTCAAGAGTTCACCTATCGACCATGACTTGATATCTCTCTGCAGGCGGGCGATTCCATATCAATCAGAATGACTGCTCCGCATAGGGTGGGCAAATATGATGTCTTCATCAGCCACTGCGGCAAGGACTGCAAGAAAGGCTTTGCGGACCTGCTCAGGGATGACCTTGAGCGGGCTGGGGTTCTGTGCTTCTTTGATGAGCACAGCCTGGAGGTGGGTGATGCTGCCCCAGCAGAGATGCTGAAGGCCATGGAAGAGGCCACGTATGGGGTCGTTATCCTATCCCCAGGCTTTTGGGAGAGGGAGTGGTGCATGAAGGAACTGGAGACCTTCGTGCGGAGGGGGAGGTTTGTGCCGGTCTTCTACGAGGGCTTCCAAGCAGTCAGTGCGGCAGCAGAGGCGGCGATGGCAAAACGAGTGTGGAGGGGCTTTCAGCAGTCCAAGTGGGATGAGGAAGCATATCGGCGGTTGGCCCAAGAAAGCGCCAGCTTCACTGGGATCAGGCTGGAAGAAGAGAGCTGGTGGCTCTCATGTATCCGCAGGGTCAGGTACGAGGTGCTGAGACTCCTTGGCAAGGTGGGGGGTGGCATTCAGATTTCGGAGGATGAGCTGTTGGTGGGGCAGAAGGAGCATCTGAGGGAGCTTAAGAGGCTGCTGGGGTTGTCTCAGGAGGGGGTAGCAGGCACCGGTGGAACCCAAGCGGCGGGAGAGGTAGGAATAGTGGGTGTGAAGGGCATGGGCGGGGTCGGCAAGACTACCATGGCGAAAAAGTTGTACGACGAGCCTGACGTGCGTGAGTGGTTCGCTGGGAACATCTGCTGGTTGAAGGTGGGCCCGAAGCCCAGCGATGACAAGATCCGGACCTCCAAAGGCAGATCCTCAAGCAGTTGGGCAATGTCGACGAGGATCCTGGGAATCCCGATCGGGGCAGGGAACTGATCCGTCAAAGGCTTAACGGAAAACGAGTTCTAATCTGCCTGGACGACGTATGGGAGACGGTGTGTATCGAGACCGCGGTCGTCAACGTCAGCGACCTCGCTCTAGGCAGCCGCATTCTGAAGACGTCCCGGAAGAAGGAGAGCATCGGGGGCCATGTCCACGATCTGGACTCGCTGGATCCGGAACCTGCCTGGGAGCTGTTTTGCTGGCACGCGTTTGGGGGTAAGATGCCACCGGAGGGTCTCGCCGAGCTGGCGAAGAAGGCGGCAGCGAGGTGCGGAGGTCTGCCTCTGGCCATCAGGGTGCTGGGCAGGCAGGTGGCCGAGGCGGGGGACAAGAAGAAGCGGCTTGAGGACTTCATTGCCCTTCCCCGCGATGACGACGCCATGATCGACTGCCGAAATATAATCAGAACAAGCTATGACAACCTGCCCGTTGAGCCGCGAGGTCTAGGGGACGTCTTCATCCTCGTCGCTGGCGTGTGGCCTCGGAATCCCGAGTTCATGCAGCATCAGAGAGCCGTCGAGAACTTGGGGGCGGCAGTGTATGGGGACGAGCCTAGAAGCACAAGGTTTAAACTGGCTAGCAAAGCGCTGGAAAAGCTCAACAGCCTCTCGCTCGTTGGGCTGAAGGTAAAGGCTTTCGGTTATAGGGGAGACGTCTCGGGAGGCGTCTCGCTTACAGTTCATGATCTAATAGTCGATGTCGCGGATGGGCTGATTGAAAGGGGGGCCGCAGAGTCTGAACGATTCTACCGTCAGCCTGGGGACAATAGCACGTCAACGCTTCCGCAGCATACAAGCAAAATTGAGCATATTTCACTTCATTCGGGTACTATATCCGTCCATCGGGTCAGCGCTGCTCGTTCTATCATCCTCAATAAGGGCTCGCAATTATTGGTCCGTTCTTGGCACAGGTTGCCTAGCGCATGTAGACTCCTCGTCATCGAGACGGCACAAGTGAACGGGTTTCAAAACCTTCTCGACATCCAGTGTCTGCGAGTACAAAGGCAGCAAAGCCTGCCAAAGTCGGTGGGGCTGCTGACGGGGCTCACGACCCTGGAACTGAACTTTTGCCGGCTACAGAGCCTGCCGGAGTCGCTCGGGCGGCTGACGGGGCTGACGAGCCTGAATTTGCGATGGTGCAACAAGCTGCGGAGCCTGCCGGAGTCGGTCGGGCGCTGACGGGGCTGACGAGCCTGGACCTGCGAGTGCGGGCGCTGCAGAGCCTGCCGGAGTCGGTCGGGGCGCTGACGGGGCTCACGAGCCTGGACCTGCACATTTGCGGGGCGCTAGCGAGCCTGCCGGAGTCGGTCGGGGCGCTGACGGGGCTGACGAGCCTGGACCTGAACGACTGCCAAGCGCTTCAGGGAGCAAGTCAATATTGGTGGGCCGCAGCAAAAGGCGAAGCATGGGCGCAGGTCAACCTGGGCGCGTGCTTCTACCACGGCACGTGGGTGGAGAAGGACGAGGCGCGCGCCGCCGAGCTGTACGCGAAGGCCGCCGAGCAGGGCGACGCGGAGGCGCAGTGCAGACTGGGTAACTGTTATGCAAGAGGCAGGGGCGTCGAGAAGGACGGGGCAATAGCGGTAAAGTGGATGCGAACGGCTGCTGAGCAGGGGGACCCGGCCATGGTGGCAAATTTGGCGGAGGTTTTGATGGAGGGTCTGGGAGGTGCACCGAATTGGGTCGAGGCGCTGCGACTGTTCGAGTCGTCATTGAATATATGTGCACCTTCGAAGGTCACATCAGCTTGGATGCTCTGGGGTGGTCGGAATGGAGTTCGACAGGACAGGCTCAAGGCCAAGACGATGTGCGAGGAGGTCCTGACGACAGAGGATCTGGACGACCAACTCAAGGGTTGGGAAGCAGTCGGCTGGACTTGGCCTGCTGCATTGGAGTGGTTCCGAGGCGAAGCTTGGCGCGCTGACGAACCGTCCGGCGAGGCCCTCGAGAGAGGCGAAGGCGACAGGGGACTGCATCAAGAAGCAGACGAAAACGGAAGAGGATCCCTCCACCCTAGACCTGTGGACTTTGGAAAGGGCGCTCTGGCCGAACCATCTGGACGTGCCGAGAATGCGGGAGAGTCGCACGAAAACCCTGCTGCTGTGTTATCGAACACTGCACACTCGGGAGAAGCCCTGGGCCCCCGACGCCGGCCGACGTTCGTGATTCTGCAACACATTTCTACCACTGCCGGCATCGTTGCCATTGCTCTTGGCGTTGTAGCTATTGCCATTGCCGTAAGCGAGACACGCCGACGTTCGTTAAGATTGTGACAAAAGTAGAACCTTGAAGAGGAGATTTGTCGGACCTCTATTTTCTATATTATCGATTCCATAGCAACTTGGAGACCCATGACAAGAGTGGGGTATTGAAATCTCTGATGCGGGATCCTTGAAAATGCCCAAGATAGGATGCTGGAGAAAGAGCGCGGCCTGCAATCGCACATGACATGGTGTGCCATTGTTTTAATTCGGGAGTTACATTCGTCCATTTCATCGTATTCAGAAGCCGTCATACATGAGCACATGCGTCGATCACTATTATATGGGCGCGAGGCTTAAGGAAGCGCATGCCACACCATCGTCAAACTTCACCATGTCTCTCCTCGTCGGTGCCTGGCACCCTCCGAGTCCGGAAGGGTCTCCTCCTCGGAAGATCCACATCTCTGACTACGTTCGCGAAATGAAAGGGAACATCACCTGCGCTGCCTGTCCGGGGGCTTGATCGCCAAGAGAGGAGCTCTCAAGGTCCACCACTACGCTCACCAAGTAGCATGCACGGCCTATGTCGCGTCCACCGAGCCCATGACGTCTTGGCACGCCGCATGGCAGGAGATCTGCCTACCGCAACACGTCGAAATACCAGTAGAGGCGACCGTCGCCGGAAGGGAAGCACCGTCCGATGCATCGCGGACATCCGCTGTGCGAACGGCACGGTCATCGAGGTCCAGCACAGCGCCATCTCGTCGACCGAGATGCTGAAGAGAGAGGCCGTGCACGACGACATCATCTGGGTGGTGGACGCCAGAACACCGCGGTCGTGCAAGAGCGAGGAGTGCCGAGACGAGTCGTGCGACGGCCGTCACATACCGGTGGTGGAGCGAGTCGCGGGCGATCTGACCAACATGCCTCCAGCTCCTGCCACGTCAGAGTTCGCCATCTTCACCATCGAGGTCAGGGGCCTGAGCTTCCCGTTCGCATCGAATCGCACCGTGGTCTTCGACACCGCACAAGGCCTCTTCTCGCTGCGACGCCGTCTCGGCCGCAGGGCGTTCCTAGGTGCCAAGGTGGACTCGCGTCGGTTCTTCGAGACCTACTTCAGCCCCATCAGCGCCTCTTGTACGGACGAACTGGTCGCCCGATACGCAGCGACGTGCGTGGCGTCTGATCCGACCGGGGTCGAGAAAGCTCAATTCAAGAGATGGGGCTTTGTCTGGCAACCCGGCAAGTGCTCATGGCGGCCTGTAAGCACGCCCGTCGAGCGGGCACCGGAACCTCCACCGGAGGAAGAGTGCTTCAGAGCAGCACTGTCTCCTTCGGAACCGTCGCGGAACCTTGACGACGCGGAGAGAGGCCCGAGGCTCCACACCGAGCCTAAGAGCCCGATCACCTTCACCAAAGAAGACACTCCTTCGAGCGTAAACCCTCTACCGGCTGGCGCATCGGAAGATACGTACTAGTCATGGGCGGCCACGGAAGTAAAAAAGGGGACCACATGGACGTCGATCTTTTTCGGCCACCACGAGTCTGCCCCTCCGTGTCCAATCTCAGCTCCTTGGGAATCGGAGACCATGAAAAAGATTTCCAAGGAGGTTTGGTTGGCACAAGCTATCAACCAGACCGCCCCGCGGACAGCGCAGCCTCAAGTCGACCGTGCGGAGTGGTGGAAGGGCGCAAGACCCGAAGATATGGAGAGTGCAAAAAGGAAGCGAACCGGCAACAAGGGGGCGTTACCCAGTAAGCGGTCGGCAATAGCCACCATACAAGACAAGGTGGCTTTCCTCAACCAGGAGAAACCGTACATACAGCGTGCAAGAGATCTAAGGCGGGCCAAGAAGTAGGTGTATCCATGTGAGGGGGTACCGCTTGAGCGCGGCTAGAACGTCTAACTAATGTACATACTTACCAAGCCATCAAACTGCAATCCTATACCTGCTTGCTCGATATTCGGACGTGGACCACTAGCATGACATACTACAAGGATGCATTCCAGCAATGGCTGTTTGCAAAGCCTGCGGAGTAACTGACTGCGTCTGTACTCATTTAGAAATATGTGAACAGTGGGTACAGAGTCAAGGAGATGGATATGTGCAATGAGCATCAATCGAAGAAAGCTTTGTGTGCACTGGTGTTAAACCACATACACAAGCGGCCGGCGGACGATTGTTTTGATGACAAAACGATCAAGTGTCCCAAGCTGATGAAATGGTAAGCATCGTTGTCACCAGAGCTTGCAAAGAGCATCACATCAGACGAGGACACACTGAGGGGCTGTCTTGCGTATGACGACTTTTTCAAAGAGATTTGTTCGTGACAGCAACAACGGGACTGTAATGCAGAACAGGATCGCTTTGCTCCAGGACAGGCCATACATACAAAGCAAAAGACTTTGGAAATGGCAAATTGATGTTACCTATAATGTTGACGCATTTATACCGAGCCATAAAAAGACTCTTAACGCAATCATTAAGACCTTACTCATGACAAAACTTACTGCAATTCTACTAATTCCCTTTTTGTAATTTCCCTGTAGCTCTACAACTCAACACCATGTGATCGACATATCTAACGCGTATAGTCACTCTGAATGCCCACGTACACCTGCGGCCTCTTCCCGTATTCATCCTCAGTCTCCCTCTTCTTCTTCCTGTACCCCTTGTCAGTCATCTGCTTCGTCAAAACTTCAGCCGTTATGTCGCGGTCGGACGTAGCGTCCTTGTAATCCTTCAAGAAGGCCATCATAGGAGCCCTCAAGTCCTCTCCGATCGTGCAGTGGTCCTCGATAAACTTCTGGAGCTTGTCATTGCTCGCCAGGTACTGATTCAGACTCGCCTGCATCGCATTGGGGGTTTCCCCAAGGCCGCCGCGAGCGTACCAGTCCACAGCCCCCCTGACCAAGAACGAAAGAAACTGCTCCAATGATCCCCTCTCCGTCATTTTCGCCTTCAGAGTGAGATCAACCGGTCTGTGCCGAGCGTTTGTTGGATCAAGCCTCTCTTTGCGGACGTACAGGTTGGGAAAATTGACGTAGATCAGGCGGCGCAGCATAGCCTCCTCCTTGGTGTCACGGATGACTGGAGGGTGGTTAGTCATGACGATCGGCAGATTCGTGAGCTCGAACTCCTCTAACTGACCGTAAGGCACGCGGCTAGAGATTGTGCCACCCCTGTGACCGATTTTGCCGAACCTTTGTCAATCTCCTGCCTCTCGTCTGTTTCGTCCGTGATGGTGATGCGCTTGTCCTTCAAAGCTGACAGGTGAGGAGTGGCAGCACCCTTCGAAGCAGGCCGTTGACCGGCAGACGTCACTATAACGTCATTTGGCATGATGCCAAAGTACGGCCCCAGCAGCTTCTCCAGCATCTCCTTGACCACGCCCTTGCCGTTGCCTGCAGTAAAAAAACATGTCTCGTCTTGAGGAGTTTTACACCCTTATCGTTCCTGAATCTTTTTTGTCACCGTAAGAGCTCCACCTGCTTGAGAATGTAGCACGCAGTAGAAAGTCAGCAGGCATTCGGGACGTAAGGCTGCACTCACCTCCTTTTCCGACAAAGAAGCACAGCTTCTCCTCTCGTGCTGAGCCGGTGATGCCATACCCAAGCAGCCGTTGGATGTAGTCGATGACGTCCCTGTCTCCGTTAAAGATGTCGTTGAAGAAGCTCTCCACGCTGGGTGCTGGGTAGTCAAGACCCTGAGCGCAGAACGAAAGCAGATTGAACTCATTTGATGCGTGAGTTGTTTATCCACACTGTCAGCCTTGTGCTCGAAGTCAGTAGCTAGCAAAAAAGCCATGCTGCCTATCAAAGTGCATCTGCTAAGATAGAAATGCACGATAATGAAGCAGACTTCTTCTCACCTTGTACGCTGTAGTGATAATCTCAGAGCACATGTACTGGGGGCGGTGGATGTCCAGCTCCCCAGTGCGCAGATCGACCACGCCGTTTTGTGTGTTGAGAATGTCCGGATCCCTGTTGAGCTCGCGCGCAAAGCCGTCCACGTGCATCTCGCCTGTCAGCACTTTCATCGTACTCTCTACGTCTTTAGAGTAGTTGTAATTCCTGAGCATCTTCTGCTTGCGTTTGAGACGCGTTATGATTTCCTTGTCACTCGTCCGAGCCATCTCCTCCTCGATCTGCGCATGCAGCCGGCCGTATACGGTGGACAGCTGCTCCATAACCACCAGGCGCACTCGGCTCTCAGACACGAGTCTAAACACTCTCCCATCCCACATGTACCAGCCTTGGTCTGAGTGCACTAGCCTGCAGAGACGAGTGAGAAAGGGTCAGACCAACACAGTAGAAGGAGGACAAAAGTGGCCAGTAGCAAAACATCGGCCAACCGAAGAAAGACACGTGGCACATAGGGAACCTGCAACCGGCGGAAATCTGTGGGGATGCAGTACAACTTGCCTGAGGCACGGGTACATGTGCGTAAAGATCCGGCTACCGCCTCTGTCCCCCTGGAACGCCCAGTAGTCGACTAAGCTCTTCTCAAGCTTCTCGTACACGCTCTTGTCGTGAGTCGGATGCACAGCTTCCACAGTGGCGCCGACCATCCGGTCGCGGATAGTGAGCTCTCCGATCACAGCCCGCGGGCGGCGCGCGCTGCACTCCGACGAGTTGCACACGTACTCCAGCCGGGTGCCCGTGAGCAGCACCGCGAAGTTGTTAGAACCACGATGACGAGCCCCGTACGGGCACGTGCGCTCTCCGTCCACCCGGAACACGAACAGGTTCCCCTTCTTGCGGTCAAAGCGAGAGGTGACGTCCCCATGAGCAGCCAAATGCTCCTTGATGCGAGCCAGCACCGCATCGTCCGATCGGTTCAGCGGCTCGCGTAGCCCCTCCATCTCCGTCGGAGCTCGTACGGTCCTGCACAGCAAATCCAACAATTACCTAACGATGCGAGAAGACAGCCCTTGACCACTAGGGGCTGCCCAAAAAGGACTAGCAAACGACCTCCTGTCCTCCATGTCAACAATCGTTCCCGACAATCTGGCCGGACACTTTTCACCCATGCCTCCTAGGATCAGCCCATACGTCTCCGTCTGCGAAATAGATCACCTCACTTGTGTTTGTCTGGAGGAGGACAGAAGGACAACTAGTGGTTTCATGAATCTAAACCGGAGATTGCCTGGTGTCCTCGGCTGTCCTTGGCCGTCCCAAGCGACACAAGAGGGATTCGAAAAATGCAGAATCCCCAGTCGATCGATCATGCATGGTCTCACCCAAGGTGCCTCTGGACGAAAGGCTGAGCCTTGGCCGCCACGTACGCACGGGCAGCCCCCAGGTCGATCTTCTGAAGCGCGCTACTCCGGCGCATGTCGTACACGCCGACCAGGTGATCGCACAGCTTGGGAGAGCTTCCTTCGGCAGGGACGAGCGGCCTGCCAGAACCCTTCTTGCAAGAACCGAGCATGCGGAAGCAGCGGAACTTGGTGTAAACCCCGCTGTCCCATATCCGCTCGCTCTTTCCATTGCGCTCGTAGTCTAGGAACAGGACGCTCTCTGCGAGCTCGCAAGAGGGAGGATTCCGGAGGAAGGCCTCAAAGGACTCCTTGAAGAGCGTGCGCTCCTCGTGATTCTCCAAGTAGAACCCTTCCAGCACCTCGTGTGCGCTGTGCTTGTACCCACCCTTGGACGCTCCGTGCGCCGTGCTGGTCTGGAAGGACAGGCGGAGGGCCGATATGCCCAGGACCTGCGTGAGAAAGGCCGCCCGGAGTTCGGCGAATCGAGAGAGGCGCTCTGCGAAGCCTTCGTCGTCCCGCTCCGCAACCGAGTACTCTATGTCGAAGTAAAGGCGGGTGGGCAGATCCGGGTGCAGCACCTCGTACATTGTCCGCTCGACCGCGTACTCCGCCAGGTGCTCGTCGTACTCCTGCAGCGTGTCCACGTCGGCGAAGGTGGTGTACCTCTTGGTGGCAGTGTCATCCCGGACGTCGCCGGCTGCCAGGATCTGATGGCCTTGCGCCAGCATGTACGCAAAGGCCCGCCCCTGAGGGCCAGCCCCCGTTGCCTCACAGGGCCTAGCGAACCAGTGCGTGCCTTGATCGGTCGCGTCGGGGACGACCTGCAGCGAGCAGGCCAATCAGGACGCGACACGTGGTAACGGGAAGAGCGCGCTCTGGCGGCAGGGGAAGCCAGAAGGACGGCGCGGGGCAGCTAGGGTTGCCAAAACGCACTCGCGAACCACCTCCTGTCCTCCATGTCAACGAAGAATCCCAACATTCCGGCCGGACGATCTTCGACCATTCCACCCAGGATCCAGACCATCCCACCTGAGATGCACCATACCACCCTGACTGTAAAAACCACAACCTTACTTTTGTTGGTTTTCAGAAAGACAGAAGGACAGGTAGTGATTTTCTTAGTCTATTTCGGAAATGGCTGACGGCCTCGGTCGTCCATGGGCGTCCCGAGGCTTTCGTACCAGGTGCCTGTGGTGGAAGACAGTCCGATCCGGTGACTTGCTCCTCATTTTTCGGTTCAACTTGTGGATCCCTAGCCGACACTGACCTGAGACGGGTGGCCCTCCGCTGCAACCTGATCGCGCGAGGTGGCCTCGGTGGGTTCTCCTGCAGCGCTCTCGGAGGGCGTCCTGAGGCACGACAGGTGCTTCGCGAGCAGCCCCATCTGGGCATCCGACTCCTCTTCGGCATGAGCCCTGTCGGCTGCTGCGTGGCCGATGGCCCCTTCTCCGCCCCGCACGCTCCCGTCATCGAGGAACTCCCGGAGCGAGCCGGCCGACTCGACCTCCTCGGACCGGACCGACCCATTGTCCGAGAGCTGGACGTCCTCACCTCTTTCGTCGGAGTTCGCGTCGCTGCCAGAGCTCCCGCCCGCCTGCGCTGCGCCGTCATCATCTGTGCTCTTGCGCTTGACCCCTCTCCTCCGCTCGACACCGTTTAGGCCAGGGCTGACCTCGGACGTCCGGGCCTGCACGGCACGAGAGCCAATCAGAGGGCGCCACGTGGCGGGATACCATGGGCTCGGTGCGGGCGGCCAGGAAGACGGCCCCCTGCAGCTGGGGTCGCCGGAAAGCACTCGCGATTCACCTCCTGTCCCCAACAAAGATTCCCAACATATCGGCCGGACGGTTTCCCAACATCCCCCCCGAGATCCATACCATCCCACCCGAGATGCACCCATATACCACCTTGACTATAAAAACCACAACCTTACTTTTGTTTGTTTTCAGGAAGACAGGAGGACAGGTAGTGATTCCCTTAATCAATTTCGAAAATGGCTGACGGCATCCGCCGTCCATGGCCGTCCCGGGCTCTGATTGACAACTTCGCAGGCCATTCTCTAGCGAGCGGGCGTCAGAGCCGAAAAGCCTATGCTGGAAGGATTTTGCCTGCACCTTACCTGAGGTGGTGATTGGTCCCCATCGGCAGCCTGGTCATCGTCCCCATGCTGGTCCGAGAAGGTGGGGGCGGCAGGTGAAGGATCCTGCGAAGTGCGGGCCTCGGACGTTCGGGACTGCAGGGCACCGCAGCAATCAGAGAACGACACGTGGCAGGATCGTACGGGCTAGGTTTTAAACGGCCAGGAGGACGGCTTCCAGCACCTGGGGTAGCCGAAAAGCACTCGCGAACCACCTCCTGTCCTCCACGTCAACGGAGAAAACCAACATTTCGGTGGAACGGTTTCCCACCATTCCACCCAGAATCCGGACCATCCTACTGAGTTGCAACCCCCATACCATCTTGTCTGTCAAAAACACCATACTACTTTTGTTTGTTTTCAGGAGGACAGAAGGACAGCTATTGGTTCCGTGAATGAAAAGTTAGAACGCCAGTGTCTACGGCATGTCTTTTGCCGTCCATGGCATGTTTCTTGTTCCCCGTAACGTAGTTGTGAATGAATACTAAGTGCTAACAACACCGATGATTTTGCAACTGAGAAGAACAAGCAAGCTACACCGAAGAGATGACACATGAGGGACAAGTTGTCACTCGTGAGTGTTTTTTGAGAAGCCACCGAGTGGCTAGCCAGGCCTGTCAAAGAAAAGGGTTGCATGGGAGGTCTCACTTCTTTTTGAGAAGAGAGCACTTCCCTTTGCTCTGCTCTCCTCCGCCTGGGGTGGTCCTCCTGCGAGCTGGATTGCAATTCAATGTCCTGCAGAGGCCCACGTCCAAGTTGATCAGGACTGGCATGGCTGAGTCTTTGGCAAGGGTGATGTGTCTGTTCTTGCCTGGTCCTGATAGTATCGCAAGATACTCGTCTGCTCTGTCCACCTGACTCTGTGCTTGCAGTCCTTTTATAGAAACTCCTCTCTTGGCGATGCAATTCCCTGCTTCTGTCACCAGCTGCAAGGTATGTGTGTTTATGAAGTGACTGGGATAGGGTTTCCACAAGCAGACCCTGATGAGCTTATTCTATGCCTGCAGCCTTCTCATGAAAAAACCTCTCTTGGTGGAGCACTTCCTTGGGGTAGTCTACCCCTGCCTATGTCACCTGCTACAGAGCATGCTTAATTTTAAGCGACTTGTTAAGAGGGAAGGTTTACAAAGAGTTTTCAATATATGAAAACCCGACCCCAAGACCTGGTAAATGCCTAGAACGCTGCCTACCTGGCGACCCCTGACAGCCTGTAGAGATGCTTCTGAAGGGTGTCTGAATTGTTCCTGTCTCATCCTGACCTGAAACGCTTGCCAAGCTGGGCTATGCTCGTCTCCAATGGCCATTGTCTTTCACAAGAACACGTTGATTTGAAAACACAGCTCTCTGCTTCAAAGTTCACAGTTTCTCGGCGCCATGAATTTTCCTGAGAGCGCGAAGAGCGCGTAACAGGGATTTCCCCAAGCCGCGGCCTGATCTATCCTTGCAATGGCAACAATGGTCTGCGGTAGGCAAGGTATGTTTTTGGAAGGTTGTGCAGTGTCTGGTCGGTTATGTCCACGCTGGAACCTCGGGATGAAGGGTTCAAAAAAGGCGGGAACCTTTCGGTCGACCGGCCGCCCGCTGGTGGAGGCAGGTACTTACGGTACATTGTATGGCAGACTGTTGGTACCGCGAATGTACCGGGTACCTTTATGGGGCAAATCCAGTAATCGGCTGGCGACCGTGGTGTACCGGGCGATCTCCTTGGGGCATTTTTTGACGATGCGGTGCTCGGTTGGTACCGCGGCCTGACCCCGGCATGTTGGACCTGGGGGCGCAACAAACCCTGCCGCCTTGGGTGCGCACCAAACCCTGCCGCCTTGGGTGCGCAACAAACCCTGCCGCCTTGGGTGCGCACCAAACCCCGCCGCCTTTGGGTGCGCAACACAAACCCTGCCACCTTTGGTGCTCAAAAATAAGGCACTGCTAGTTGAACTTGGATCTGAGGTTCCCGGGTACCCAAGCCGTTGGTATGAGCCTAGGACTCACGTAAAGTGCCCAGCAGTAACTTTGCGAGTGTATTTAGGGCACGTTCAGTGGTACCGGGTTCGGTTCGGACGTGGCAATGGGGTCCGAAATTTGCGAGAGGGGTCAGTCTGGGGGTCTGTGCCCGGTAGGTAGAGTTGGGTTTGAGGTTCCGCCGAGTGCGGCGCGAGTGAAATCGTTACGGGTTGCTGTGTAACCGAGGTCTAACCTGGTCCAGAATTCGGCCCGCAAGTGTTTTCCGAGTCAAAATCAATGTTGTCAGGGGGGCCCATCGGACGGTGGAGAAAATTCCGGAGGCTTCTACCGGGCCGTCAGATAACTCCGATTTCACCAGTCCCTAATAGCCATACAATCAGGCGTACAATCACATATCATTCATAAGAAATGGCCTGATTGTATAAGATTGTACCATCCATGGCCCGGCCACATACAATCCGGTGACTAAGGACATGACTGCGATCGTCAGAAAGAATCTCAAGAAAATCCCGACTTCCAATATTGATTGGTCAATGTTGCGGACTCCGGAGGCTGGAGCGACACAGTTAATCATAAATCTGTCAGCGCCAAACCCGGTGTTCGAGCTGGTAACATCCGCTAACGTCAGTCGATGGGTAGGTACCAAGAGAGTTTTCGACGGAACCTAGGTAAGGCTACACAATCTCGGGCAGTTTCGACAACCCCGTCGAAACCAGAAATTGTGGCAGAGATCTGGCGGCCGACAAAAATTCACTTTTGTCGTTTCTGGCGGCACTGGAACAGAATCCAGATCATGATGCTGAATGCAGCTAATGCCCTCTGTCAGTGTAGGGCCACAGTAGGCTGCACTCCTACCTACCGTAGTCCAACGTGATCATTCCGAAGACGTAGGTACGTAAGTTTGCTAGTCTTACAATATGCGTCATTGATGATGTCACACAGGGTTAACCTCCTAACGCACACTGAAACCCTAAGGGTAAACATTGAGCAGTAACCCGGTTTTTGACAAACCCTAAGGCGTTCCGCCAGAGCGCACCCTTACCCACCCTAACCCCCCAGCTAACCCCACCAAGATCACAGGTTTGCCCTCATTGACCGGAATTTGCCCCGAGCACTTCACCGCACCCGGTGAAACCTGGCGGTACCAACCTTAACTACAGGTATCGTACCCCACCACTGGTATCGCTGATGTCACCGATGACGTACTTCTGAAGACTAGCAAAGTTATGTAGTCTGCTGATTCCGAACGACTTTTCCAAGTAATATTTTCCAACAATCCGACCAGGAATGCCGAATTACTTATGCGGATTCCGATCAGAATCCGATTGCCCTATGTTCCTACTTCAAGATGCATTTTAGGGCTGATTTGGGCAGTTTATTGCCTTCAGAGAACCATTTCAGAATTATTTAACCTTTCCGAATTTCCACTTTCCGAACGGGAAATCTGAATTTCTGACTTTCCGAATGCAAATAATTATTTATTTATTCGGATTCATTACCTTGGACTACGGTACTTCTCTTGAGATCAGGCAGGTAGACTGTGCTGCACATTGAACTGATCTTGCCATCTTTGTCAAACCACCTTCAGCGCGTGGCAGTTCCTGGGGCGAAGGCGAAAAACACATTGTTTCTAACAGAAGCTCTTGCAGCTTATCGACGCTGCAGAGCGGTTCCTGCGGCGTTTCCCCCCCCTGAAAATCGATACACAGTTCACAAAACCTAAGCAGGCTGCGCGGGCGTGGCTGGTCAAAAGATCTGCAGAAAGAAAGGCTGAAACAAGGTGTGCACTAGCTGCATATATCGAAACACAGAGGGAGCTTAGAGACAAACGCAGCGATGGCAAGCAGGGCGTGCTTGATGGTGGTACTTAGTGCAGCGCTGATGAGCTTGGTCCAGGGTAAGTCATCTCTTCTGCATTGAGTTGTAGGTTGTTTTGCAGCTCCTTGATTTCCAGCTGCTCTGATTGCAGTCTGCTTTTAGTTGGTGATTATTTCTATCTTGAAGGAAACAGGTTGCCCGCAAGAACCACAACAGTGAGCAAAACGAAGACGCCTTCTAGAATCTGTACGGCTGCCGGACAAGTACGGCTTTTCTTCAGCGGACTGCCAGCATAGCTTTGCTGGTTGTTTCATTTCTTGCAAGCAATAAAAGGGGAATAGAAGCGTCCAGATCTGAAACTCTTTTCTAGATCTCGCAGAAGCTGTTGGGCAATAGTCTAGTTCTTCTAAGGCTCTCCTGGATACTACAAATCTGTGCTCCTTGTGCTACTCCTACCCCCTGTCTATGGTTGTGCCAGATTTTGGGCTTCTTTTAAATTGAATACGAACTTACTGTTGCACAAACTGTATGCTGGAGCCCAAACCAAAGAGTACACATACTGGCCTTGATTGCTGGAGCCTATATGAATGAAGATTCACATTCTGGCCTCATTGTCTGGTCCTACGTTTCAACACATATGTGTGTATACACGTATTCGAAGGTGCCAAGATATGGTGTGCTCTGACGGTGGCACCTTAAAATAAGCCTCATATTGAAGCTGTCTGTTTATAAGAAGTAAGTTGGTAATGGTTTGCTCTCGGGATGTGAATCTTTCATAACAGCGTGTGCCATTGAGGCTCCTGAGACGCTGTACTCGGGTTTGTCGTGTAATGCGCTCTTGGCGCACCTGAAGGTTCTATTGAGGCCACTGGCCCTCTCGTGCAATGAGGATGTCATCAGGTCTAGGTCAGTTGCAACATCCTTGAAAGAATTTGAAGGCGGGCTAAATAAGCTGACCAAGCCAACAGTTTTAAATGACGTGGTATTCTTGTCACGCTGTTGCAGTTCACGTTGCTTTTCGATTCTTATGCACGCTTTTCCTGTAAAATATCTGTTTGTGGGCGACCATATTCAATTCGTGGCTTTAACCTGGATTTCACGCCTTTTAGCAGAGGCCCCCTATCCTCTCCTCAAATTTCAACACAAAATGCAAATGTCTGTTGGTTTCTGGAAGTTCCAGCAATCTCTCGGTTCTCGATGCACTACCAGTACTTGCACCGGTTGCTGCTTGTCTCTTGCTTCAGTTTCCGGCCTCAAGTTCAGGTCGAGATAGCTGTTCGCAAGACATTTTCGACAGTTTCTGGTGAAACGAGGTCGGAATGGTTTATGTGACACGGGAAGCGCTTGTGGCAGCTGCCTAAACGTGCGTTTTGTGAGGGCACGGTTTGGCCAGTGATCATGGCAGGCTTAATCTCCCATTGTATTTTTATGTGTGTCTCGGTGGTCTAATGTTCGTATTTGTGGTTTGGTTTGGCACTGAAGGCTGTTAGGTGTTTGCCTTGGAGACAATAGGGGTTGACGTATGTGTTCACATCTTCAGTGGATCTTGGAGAGAGGCCCTAACCGACACGAGTAGTTCAGGGGCTGGGCCTGGAGTGGAACTTGACGCGCTTCATTGGCACGATCATACTCAGTCAATCAGAAATCCAATGTGCAGTAAGCATACAACGAGTATTGCAGAAACTGTCTGCCCCACCTTTGTGTAGGAAATTAAAGCAAGGGGTTTGCCAAGCAAAGCGACACCTAAAACGACGTGGTCTTCCTTTTTTCCAGCTCAACCTGCTATCCAGTCTGTACAGAGACTATGTTTCTAACACTACGTTTCTTATCTTGCCCGACCGCTTCGAACGTCTTTTTGACACTTTTCTCCAAAGTTCGGCCTTCTTGCCACCCCTGTGACCACTCTGCTCCGGTGTCTCCATATTCAGCAACAGCGAGCCACCTGCTCACTTATCATCATCGAAGGTCATTGCACAAGACAATTGCAGCAAAGATGAAGGAGTATTCAACCCGCCTGTCCTGTTGTGCAGGCCAAGGTTACTACATTCCGGCCTCCAATCTCAACATCGCCCCCTCACCTCTCACCCCTTTCCTCAACCTGAGCGGTTTCATCTACGTACCTGGCCCCTCTCAGGCCCCCACCATCCCGGTTCCGGTGCAGCAGGGCCTCCTGGCGTGCGGGTCTCCTTCGGTGAGCTTCTCCTTTTGACAGTCGATCTGATGCAAGCACAGTTTGTGGAGTTCTGAAAAAATGGACGTGCCTTTCACACACACCTTACGGAAGTTAGGCGATTTTTCTGTATGTTCGGAAGTTTGTTGGGGTTTATCAAACGTGTATCAGCGCGCGCTCACCGGTAAAAAACGATCATTCGATGAAGCTCTAGTCGACGGTGTTTATTCATTCCTGATTGTTCCCTCTGGGCGGCCGGTCCATGGTTATTTCTATAACTGGGGCTGCGCTCGTGTGGGGTTGGGTCAAAGGGGAAGCAAACGTTTGGCCAGCTTGGGGCATGCGTCGCAATGGAAACATATCCTGGAAAACTAGAGTGTATCCCGTTTTGTGTGTTAAGAATGCATATTGGTTGATGGGGGGGTTTCGTTATGTCCTAGGTTCCCACCTTTGCTTCAGATTCCGAAACTTGCTTTTCTGATGCTTCCAAGGTTAGGGCTCGTTGCAAAGCCAATTCGGGTTATAATCTTTGCTTGATTCTTACTTGCATGAGTGCATCTTTCATCCGGGCCGCTTCGTCAGCTGTGAAAGTATTAAATGGAAGGATCAGTCTGTCCTTTTCTACAACCGTATTAAAGAAGCTGTCCTCTTGTTGCAACCAAGCCCATATGGCAGGCTTCGTGATAGCCTGCTTCAAAGGTTGTGTAGCACTTCACGTGGGTGTGCCTATTTGAGGGCAGGGGCGCATTTGTTGCGCCTTTTCCTGCGTGCGAGATTCGGGGAAATTTCAGACATCATTCGCTGGGGGTTGTCGAGTCGCGACTATGTTCGCTACTCGGGAACAAAATATTTGAGCGTAGTTTTCGTTCCAGTGGATATCCACCGTCTGCACACCCCTGAAGGCAACGATCTCCTGAAAGGTGGAGGTTCTGAGGAGAGCGTTTGAGTATGTAGCTTCCCTGCTAACTGTGGTGTTGTTTTGCAGAGCGACTCCGCATGCGGCCTGTCGACCACCGTGCAGGCCTTCTGCTCTGCAGCATGCGGGATTCAGTATGACGCCTTTGTCAACTGTACGCAGATTGTCTATTCAAACAACAATTATCCGGTGAGTTGGCCTGAATGTAGGCGGCCATTGAAGGAGGGGGAGCAGGCTGTCAAATCGTTTCAAAATGGTGTCTTCTCATGATTGCTGCACTTCGTTGTTACTTTTAGTCCTATCTGTTGTCTACTCATCCGGGGACGTTTGGAAATCTGAACTGTTTCAGAGCATCGTCGAACGCTTCAGTGCCTCAGGTGCGAGGTCAGCTGTCAAGTGCTTCGGTTTGAGCCTAGCAAGGTGCTGGAACTTGGTTGCTTATTGTTCCTATCCGCCTCTGCTTCTGTTGAATGCGATCTCCTGTCCCCACTGCAGGCACCGAATGTCACCGATGCTTCTCGTCAGGCGGAGCTAAGGAAACAATTTTGTGCGCAACACCCAACCATAAACACGACGCTCAGTGACGTACCAATTAACGTCAGCGGCGGGCTGCGGGCATCTCCCACCTGGGAACTTTTGGTTCTTGTTGGCACTCTAGTCGCTGCGCTGTGCCTGCTGTCTTAGTAAATTATTCGAAGTCGCCACCCATTGTCGCCAACGATGCATCACAGGGCTTGCACGAGTTGCTATCAACGGAATTCAAGGGAATCCGCATTAGTGTCACGCTAGTATTAGACAGGCTTTCGCAAGGGGACTTTCGCAAAAGGCCATCGTACTTGATGATGATGATGTACCATATTACTAAGTCAAGCTAGTCAAGGTGGACCCGGCACGATTTGGTCCTTAAAACCACTCAGGTTGCAGCTACAGGTTGAGAGCCGTCATGGCACGGGATAATGAGTCAGCATTTGTTAGATTCTTGGTGGCAGGGGTGCGATTGATTTGTTTCCAATTGACTGAACTTGTTTTGCTTGAAGCGTTTGAGCTGGCAATTGTCAAGCCTCTCCACTTTCAATCTGGACTTGCTGAGATCGAATTCACATATTCTCTGGTTGGCCATCGGTCGTGGTCGAAGTCTCTACAAACCTGCAGAAGCTACTTTTTTCGCTACTTCCTCATGGCTAGGTTGGGAGAGCTCAGCATGTGCAGCCATAAAATGGTGCGCCATCCTAAGGCTCGCGCCGCTCGGAACCATAAAAATGTGCGCAGATCTAACGCTCACGCCGTTCGGAACAACACCGAATGCACCGTGACTGGCGCAATTGGAAGCACACATACACTTCGTTGCGCGCAGTGGCCAGCTATTTATTGTACCCATTAAGTTTATGCGCACTGTCATGCCATGTTTGATGCACGGACATCTGCCAGCTGCATGGCTCTCAGCCCGTGCATATGGCAATTTATATGATGATCGATCACATCGATATGACACGCAATTTTTACAATCTACTTCGAGCATCGCCTGAGCACCAAACCCCTTCTAGGACATGCCATTATGCTAAGGTAGACATTTTCCAGATCAAATTCCTTGATTCAGTAAGATATTGCCGAATACACCACAATTCAAGTTTCAAGGCTACCTGCAAAGTATGCATGGGTAGACAACTTGACCCCAGACCGTATAACCTCCGGCCAAAGGAGAAAGACCTGACCGACTGCATGACAATTGTCAAGTTTCTCGAGTTCTTTAAGAAAGTACTGAGGTTGAACTCACGGCATCCCTAATACTTAACAAAGCAAGGGCCGGCCATGTTATCATGCAAATAATGAGAATAAGTTTGCCAGGCAATTGTCTTCAGTCGTCGAAAAATAGTGAGTGTCCATATCGACATGCAGGGCGTTGCCTTCGTGTGAAATATTTGATCTGCGACAGGACATCATGACCTCAAGTCTATGTTCCTGCAAAGACGAGGAGAAGAGAGGAACTCCATCAATGTTGGCTTTGGCACTGGAATGAAAATTGCCACTTTAGGTACTGATTGAACAAATTCGTCCATTGCAGGCGGTGATATGCCCAGTGATGATATGAAAGAGAGAGCAATATTCTGAATACCTTGACCAACAACCAAAAGCAGACCTGATTCAAAAGGGAGGTGATAGCCTGCATTGGAGCACATAATTGCGGGCTCACTTTTCGGCGCCCTCTTGACGGAGCGCGTCCACCTTTTCCTCCAACACTTGACATGCAGCGGAGATGTCGAGATTCTTTCGAACAAGCTCCAGCCATTGGCTCGACAACCTGTCAATCTCAAAGGCTGCCGACTCCTGCACAAAGTCAGCAAAGGATCAGAGACGTTCCGGCAGCCCTCCAACCCTCGACTTCGCATCCGACTACAGCAAAAGGTCAAATTCACAACGGGCTTTTGGTGTTGGCATTTCTGCCTTGTGCAACATCCTTGAAGCCGGATGCCAGTTGCAAATGAACCTGAAAGGTCAGATGGAACTTCTCTGCTTCGGCTGCGATAGGAAAACAAACGCCTTTGAAGCATGCCAGCCGCCTGATCAAATCCGCAAAATCGACTCGAGGACAGGATATGGTGAGAACTGAGCAGACGTCTTTCGAGAAGAAGACGAGGTAAGATAAGAGCTGATACAAACACTCGCACTTAAGCTAGTCAAAACTGGTTTGAAAGGCAGCAGGACCATGTTGTTGCAGCCCTGGCGTCGCTTTTGAAATCGAAGGCAGTACTTACTTGTGTTGACTTCCGCTGCTTGTTGGTTGTGTCAATCTCGTCCCGATACGCTTCTTGAATGCCTTGTAGCCTGCACGAGTAAGAATTTGAATCTTATTGCCTTCTGTCTTTCCTCCATCAACTTTTTCGAAGTTTTCGAAGTTTTCGAACTTCAGCTCCCAACCTACCAACGTCAAGAACGTCCACAAGTCTATCTGCACCTTTACGTGAAAATCGCTCATCATTGAAACAACATCCAGACTGACCATTTCTGGCTACGAAGTTGACCAAACCTCTGTGGATCAGATGGGGGGCAGAGGCACTCTCCATCGACTAGCAGACAAGGTGTTTGAAGGAACCCAAATCGTATATTTTGCGGCACCATTCTGAAGCTTGCTTGGAATGAGGTGAAGCGCAGCTCATAAGAGCCTGAGAGTAGTATTAGACCAATTTGTGTAGACCCAAAGAATTTGAACTTCAAGCTGTAGAAGCTCAACCCAGCTGCAGCTATCTAACCCGTCATTTCGGGTTCCGACAAGCATGAACAGAAGTGGCGGGACCTCACCTAGTGCTGGTTGCATCTAGATGCTGGTTGTGAGTGAGCCACGCATTGGCGCCATACTTCAACATTAGGTCCAGATTTTCTATCCTGCACGAAGGGAAGGTTGAAAAACTCTGTCAACTTTTGCAAGCGCAACAGATACAGAGATCCCATTGCTCACACATGACCTGCGGAGAAGCAAACGTCCTCTCTGTCAAGCTTCTCAGATTGATATCAATGGACACAACTAGCAACGCCTGCAGTAAGGCGCTGTTCATCGACCACCACAATCATAAGCAGCTCTGGAAAGCACAAAGAGTGCCCAACCAGAGCCAGAAGGTTGCGAAGCATGGAGCAGCGATGTAACGCAGCAGCAGGTGCAATCGAGGTAATACTTGAAACTGCACCGCAGCGACCTAGCGGCCTGAAACCTCACCTAATTTCTTGGTGTCGGAGCTGCGCCTGAGCGTTTGCCACCGCCGACCGCCAAGCTGCCAAATCCCCCTGCCGGCTCTTGATGGGGGGGTCCACTTTGTACCGAGAATTATCCAGGGGAATTGGAGGCTTGCCGGCCTTCACCCGCTCATACTCCTTGGCCAACAAGGGACAGTTCTGAAAAGGGCAAGTGGTGGTCATAATTCTCGAAGATAGAGGTTGTCACGAGGATTGTGCAGCGAAACGCGACTGATTAATGCAACAAACTGCTGCCTTTTGATCTACAAGTTGATTGCTTCCTCTTAGCATGGTAATGGGCCTGCTTTTTCAAAGACCTTGCGCCGACTCCTTGAATGCTTGCCACCGGAAGTGACAATCATCAGTCCCATTACCCTCCCGCGCTTTCAACACTCCAAAATAAGCTCTCTCGGAATGGGCCACTGCTCCAGTCCTGCCAAAATAAACGTCCTCACCTCAAAATTCAATGTTGGGGCGGGCGGGAGCTCTGCTAGGTAATCTGCCGGTTTCTTTGTGCTGCGCTTCATTTCATCGGCAATCATTCTTTCCACCTCCTTCTTCCAACTCTGATCTGTGACTCCTTGCATGTCAATGTACGGCAGGGCATCAATGTCCTCGTCCATTTGACCCCGCCGCCATGACCGACCACCTTCAAGCTGAAGCGGGCCATCCTGTGCAGGGGCGGCCTCCATTGCAGGGGGCGCCTTTGGAAACCTGATTTCCACAATTCCGGAGCAAAACGAAGGAACAGAAGGAATGTTTCTGCGGCAGCTCTAAAAAGTCGCCTTTCTTGCGAGGAAAATGTGTGTGCTCCCCCTGTGGCATGTGCTTGAAATTGCCTCTCAAGACTATGCAGTGGTAATAGGGTTTCGTTTTGTTCCCTTTCAATATTGTTTAGGGTTTTAAATTTTCCATTTGCTGCACCACATTTTAGCCTTATGTATTCAAGTCCATGTGCATTCAACTCCTCAAACAAGAGAGAAGAGAAGACGCAATGCACGAAAGTGGAGAGAGCTGCGCAGGTTGCAACAACATCAGTATGTAAGATCTTAGCTCTTAAAATGCACTCATTGATTTGAATGCAGCTTCCGTGCTGAGGGACTGATAGGCAAGCGTCAAATTTGCCTCAAACTACAGCAAATACCCACCACAACTTCTGATAAAGCGTGGTGCATCGCACCCTGAACTGAGAAGGTGAGAAATGGAAAGCATTTCTCCGGGGGAGCGGGATGTCTGTTTCGAAAGGCTGGCGGTCAGCAAATACTTTCATCGAAAGTCTACTTTTGTTGTAAACACCAGAATTTTTATCGTGCTTAAAGCATGGGGGGTTTGTGGTCCTATCCTAGAGTGCAATCTGCAAACGACAAATGCTGAAGGCACAGGATTTTACACCGTAGATGATGTCACGACTCAGGTCGCAACGAGCCTAATGCGTTTCAAAAGGTGTAAACAGGCACTCACACTAATATAATTGTACTAGTTGTCTCCGAGACTGATATATGCTAAACCTTCTCATAAGTTTCCTCGTCGCTTTTTGAAAGTTTTAAATGCAGATATGTTGATGACATTTTCTTCTCGAGGCCCTTGTATACCGCATCTTCTTAGATCTGCCTAATGCCCCTGCCGATCAACATACCACTCTTCTCTTCTCTCCCATGCAAGATGCTCCATGCACGAAATTTTCCCTTGGAGGAAGATGCATACCTGAAGCAGCTGATTGGGTGCATCAAGTAATGCACGGAAGCCATGTGTAACTCTGTACTAAGAGCGTTTGTCTGCTCCAGGCAGGGACCAAAGCTGCCATTGACGTCACAAGGGAGGGCGGGCCAGAAATGATGGGAAGTGCAGCTTCGGTACTCACGCAGTACGACATTGAGGAAGTTCAGGTCCACTGCAATGGGGCATGTGAGGGTTCTGGCTCCTTACTGGCCTCATCCTTGACTGACAAATTGGTAATACTGTTTGCGCTTATGCACGAATGGCCCCTTAACAAGGTGCCCCTTCCAGTTGCCCAGTCCTGAGGGTACAAAATCCTCACTACTTTTGACTAGAACCACACGCGGACGTAAAAGTATTCTTGTAGCCGAGTACCTGTCCAACACAGACTGTAAGTCCTTGGGTCAGGGAGATAGGATGTTTGTCATGCAAGGTCACTGAAATGCACGAACGGAAAGAAATGGCACACTGTCTGAGCTCAGGAAACGGCACTGAGTGTTGTAGGCTCACAGATAGTCACAAGCCTCTCATGATCCAACATTGAAGCTAGGTCTAACCAGGAAGGGAACTGCATTGGCTACCCTTCTGGATATGGTTACCTATGGTGGTCTATTGACTTTGTTGCAAGCCGATGGACGCTATCCTGTGGAAACCTCCGCTTTGTTGAACACTCGTGCCATTTGACATTCTGAAACGGCCAACAATCTGACCTTGCAGTTTCTCAGAAGGAGATTGAGTCTTTGTACAAGCGCTTCTGCGCCCTGGACCGAGGCGGGAAGGGGTACCTAACGGGGGACGAGGTCATGAGTATACCGGAGTTTGCACTCAATCCCATTCATCAGGTGAGCTTTCCCATCGGGCTTTCGCATCCATCTATGTTCCTACGAGTGTTACTACTGTGCCCTAACAATCGAAGTCATTACCTGTTTGAGGCGCATGGGAAGAAGCAGGATCCTTCTTGAGGTCACTCCAAATAAAGGAGACATTCCTGTTCAGATCAGCTGGGTTGTCGCTTTTGAAAAAAGAGTAGGACGGGCCTTTGAGAAGATCACTAGAGGCATGCAGAGGTGTACTCATTGAAGGACTGTGCTTGAAACAACTTTTGGCAGCCGGGTCAGTATCTCACCCTCTGCCTCTCACTCCTGGCTTCCTCTCTGATTTCGACAATTTACCACCGTGATGTTTCGGGTTTTCCATAAGGCTGATTCGTTGCTTCAGTCTGTAACAATATTAAGCTTCGGGTCTAATTTCTTCACATTACGTTGTCTTGTTTTGAAGACCCAGCCGTAACCCTTTGTCGTCGCCCTCCTATCAAAAGGCCATTGCCACAGGGCACACCTCCGCCCTGATAACGCATAGTAACCAAAAGATATTGAATGAGATATGAGCCCGATTTGGTTTCGTAAGCTGTCTCCTTTCGTTCTCCCAGAATCTATGTTCTTTTCAAGCCCGTTCATTTGCTAATAAGCAAGGCGAGAGGCAACAAAACCGCAAGTCCGGTCCTAATAGCCGCAAATGTTACCCAGTCCTTTCAAACGTGAAGGAGAGCGGCTGATAGGTCTATTTCTGGTGCTCGGTTCTATCATTGTCCTCAAAGCAATGAGGGCGTCTGTCTGCTTGAATCCCCGACGGCTGACTTCAAAACCCTTTATTGCGCACCGCTCTCCGTTTCTAGATTTCCCAGCCCTTCCGATCGCAGTTGGACTCGAAACTCGCCCGTACAGGAATCAGAACGACTGCCCTTCAATGCCCATGAATGTAATCGCCGGAAGTGCCAGCCTAAGCCACACGACCAAACTGGTGTTTCAACATTGATACGGCGACCGTCTTTTCACGAGCCTGTTTCGCTCCCTTTTTGCAGAGGCTTCTGGTCTCCTTCGAGGGCGTCAACTTTAAGGACTTCTGCGGCGCGATGGCGGCCTTCAGCTCCCGAGCAAGCATGGAGAAGAAACTAAGATGTGAGCACCAGTGCCTCCCCTTGGGGTTGCGTGTTGCTTCTCGAAGTCGGCTGATGAGGAAGAAATTGGCATACCGTTGCTAGGCGGAGGTTGCGGAGAAACATGCTGCTTGTCGGGCGCCAGTCTTCGTCATGCGTTTACGCCACAATCGGATTCGTTGGGTCTTTGATTGCGGAGTACGAAAGAGTCGTTTCGTGAATCTGGGGGAAGCACGAGAGCATGTCTCTGGGGGACGAGGGTGACAATCATCAGGAGCGGAGGCGCAGATTGATCCCGGCGCTGAACGTCTAACGGTCAGCGAGACGAGAGATTTGGCGTCCATGACCGTGTATCTGGTAGTGTCAATGAGAAGGTCGTGCTACACGTGAGGACCGTATCTGGTCGCAAGCGGAACAACGCGTCATTGACGTTCGCTTTTTTGCAGTCGTCTTCAACGTGTATGACGCCACCGGGAAGGGCACAATAGGGCGGGAAGACATGCTGCAGATTCTGCGCGACATGACGGGGTCGTTCCTGACAGAGGAGCAACGGCAGGTGCGTTTCCAGACGCGGGGAGCACGTCAACTTGTAAAGATTCTCCGCAAACCTTATGCACAGATTGAGAAAGGATTCTTCGTTTGGATAGACCCCCGAAAAGTTGACTCATTGGCTCACCGCAATAGAGAAGCGTCACTCGGTTTGACGAAGCTTTGTCGCATGCGGAGAGTCTTCAAAGCTCTGCGTCATCTGACACGATCAAATGGAGATTCTTCGTCATGCTTGACGTCAGGAAGACGGACGACGGACGTTTGCAAGTCATTCAAAAGCACAAAACGCGCGGTTTTTTGTCAGCTTTTATGTGCGTCCTTCGTCTTCTCAAATCCCTCATCATTCTCTTGCGTATGTGCAGAGAGCGGTGACCCGGGCACTGGAAGAAGCAGGCTTCTCCCAGAACCCCGCATTAACGTTCTCGGACTTTTCGAAGGTGAGGCACCTAAGAATTCTTTCCACAGCGGGCCTTTTGTGTTTCGGAACTTCAGGAGGCGATATGATAGGATGCATCAGCACGGCAACGGGAGGAAATGGCTAACGGCTGGCTTGTCGTCCTTTTGCAGGTCATGGGAACCTCCAGTTTTTCTCTAGAAGTAGAGGTTCCGACCCTGGATTAGGCAGCTTCTCGTTCTCAGTAGGACGGCCACAGCATCCGCAAATTGTTTGCGGTCAAATTGTACAGAATAAGTCCCTTTAGGGGAGTCCGATCACGAGTTTCCCTTGTGGTGGCCAAGAAAATCTTGGCAAGTCTGGCGTTGCGTCCGTCAAACGAAGTAAAACAATCAGGCAATCAGTCTACAGGTCCAAGTCTCGTCGAAGTCAGAAGTGGGCCAAAATTTGTGCCCGCTGGTTTGCACCGACAGCCTGCTGAAATCAAGAGAGGATGATTCAAAGTCAATCAATCTGATCGGATCGAGGCTTGGGACCGAGCCCGGCTTCATGTAGGGAATCCAAAAGCTGATTGTCCGGTCCGTTGAAGCATGCCGAAGTGTCCCTGCAAGCATGCTGCATGTCCGTGCATCTGCTATGCTCCTTCTTGGCGGTGACCAGGGGCCTCAATTGGAGCTGCGCACAACGACTTGTTGAATGGAGCTGTGCACGCGAACTTCGGCAGTTCGAATGCGCGGCAACTGCATGGAAACTGCATTGAAGTTTGACTCGCACAAGTAAGGTCTCAGCTTTTGTCGATCGGCGTGCATGGCAACCGCATGCAGCAATGTCGCAACCATGCCAGTTTCCGAGCTTCGACAACTTGTGAGCTATCATTGCTGTCCATACGAAATGCGAATTATCATGCGTTTGATTCTCATACAATTTGATGCATGTCGTAAATGTGACCGCCATCTCGTTAAGTCGTGTGCAGTGCACAGGCGTGGCATGCTTGGCCGTTTTCGAGTGCCTGTGACCAAGGTCGAAGTTGCAGGTTGTGAGCACTCAAAAGCATACTCATGACACCTATCGAGCTTTTCAATCTCCACTTCCTTTACCAGCTGGACTATTGTACAGTATGCACAGTTGAACTATTCGACTGCTAGCCAGAATAGTATTAGGCTGTTCTTCCGTGGCTTGCAAAAGCTAGGGGCATCGAGACACGGCGAGCTCCTGCAAGCGAACGTAACCAATTAGCGACCTGATGATTAGGGCGATCATGATGCTTATGCTGCTTAGAGCGTCTTTGTTACGGCGAAAAACAAACTTTCTTTGATGGTGGCAAAAGGAAAAAGCACACTGCGGGGAACAAGAAGGACCTTCTCAGGGTCTTGCCACAAAAACATTCCAGACCTCTCACCAGAAGTGTGGGCGAACCATGCGGGCAGCCGCTCTCCAGAAATACTCAAGCACACGGTTAAGCTCTCGTTCCGAACCGACCAGGACAGCCCCAACTAGTATACAAGTAGAGGAGACAAACGCCTACCTTCGGAGCTCGTCTTGACGGGGGGATCCCCCAGCAGCGGCAGCCACGGTTGCACGGGTGTTATCTGGCCGGGGGCAGGCCCGCGGCCGCTGCCGTTGCGGCCCGAGCGGCCCTTCGGTCGGCCTTTTCTTGCTCCGCCAGCATCTCCTTGAGCTTTTTGGCCAGAGTCTCGAGGGCCTTCTTCTTGGCGGCCTGGAAAACGGTTTCCAACCACAGTTCAGCGTGCCGCAATCGGAAAGGCTTGGAACACTGCAAACCTAATACGGAACACCTTTTCCGAGCTGTCTAAACGAGAACTTGCAGGCTACTAGAGAAGGGTCGACTCTCTAGTAGCCTGCAAGTCGTCGTTGAAAAGTTGCAGAACATTGATAAGCCTCTCAGGGTCGCAAAGGCGCCGATAATTTTTTTGCCGAAAACGGAGTCCGTTCTGGGGAACCTGCACACCGGTTATTGAAGAGAGTGAGAATTGCAGTCTGACAGGCTTTGTGGTTTGCGAAGCAAAGAGTGGTCACCGCTTTTTGAAGCCCTCGAGATATATCGATACCTCGCTCTGTTCGCATGTGTTCTACTTCTTTGTTTCGATGTACAGACATCGAGAAGCGGCCTTTGCTCATATTATAACGCTGAGACGCAGACCTGTAGCAAAGAACGTTCGAGGTGACGTTTGCTGATATGCAATTTGATAGCATCGAACACGCCGTTGTGGCAGCCCACAAAGTGGTGTACAAAGGAGCGGCATCGTGGGGCCACGCAGAAAGTCCAATGCTTCGTAGATTTGACGTACATGTTTGAGTTGCCTCAGTTCTTGAAAAATCAACCCTTGGATACAGGCTCTACGAGTATGAGCAGGTTTTTTCCCACGCCTCGGAGCAAGACCGGCTTCTGTGCAAAAGACCAGCGTCTGTGACCGGCTTCTTGAAAGCACTCGCCTCTGTGTCACTTCATTCAAGCGGGAGCTCGGGACCTCAGAAAGCAAAACGTTTTGAGCACCAAACTTGAAGACCAAAACCGGCACGAGGTGCCGTTTCTGGATGCCATTTTCTCACCTGCTTTCCGCCGCGGAAGACCCCCTTCTCGGGCATCTCCTTGAACTTTTCCGCCACAATGATTACTGTCCGGGGGTCCAGCGCTGGATAGTACTTTTCTCGCAACTCCTGCATGGACGTCCGAAAGTTGCACCCTTACATTTCCTCTTTCCAAAAGGATGCAACGATAGTCCCATCTGGTCGGAAGGTTTTCAGACTGCTGGTTGATACCCCTGCTGCCATAAAAAGTGTGCACCAATCAAGGTCGGCCATAAGCGCAGGGAGTCTGTTCGAATTTGTTTGCGCATAACTGACAATCAGTTGTTGATTGGCAGCTCGTGACTGCACGTTGAAAAAAGGTACATGCCACTCGCTCGTGGCGCATATCGAGGGCTACCACTTCGGAAGTACGGAGTTTCCAGGTTGCGCTGGTCAGTTAACAAGACAAACCGTGATCAAACAGGAAGCGAGCAATTTCGCCAGTCAACCCCAAACAAAGCAGGGACTGTTCTTCCGCTATCGGAGGGGTGTTCCAGGTCGCAGAAAATGGTTACTGCGAGCCGCTCTGTAGGCTCTTGCGCCAATGCACTTGTTAACCCGTCTTTTAACCCACTTGCTCAAGATAGAGCTCCAGTTGATTCTTTTTTAAAGCTAAGTTCGTCAATCCAATCTCCTCCGCAAAGCCTCTCCTTTATTTTTAACATGACCCTCCACATAACCGACTTGTTAACCTGCCACATGCCCCACCTGCTCCAGTCACAGCTCCGGTTGATTCCCCAGCAGAATTGTCGGCCGATGCGCCTCGGCAAAACCTCTCGTTCATTGCCTGAAGAAAACTCCTCCACATAACCCACTTCTCAAAACCTGTCTACAAACCCACCTGCTCGAGATACAGCTCCGGTTGATTCCCCAGTAGTAGATTCGTCAGCTGGCGCGCCTCTGCGAAGCAGCTCTTGAGCCCCGCGCTCCCGGGAAGGTGCTCCAGCCCGCTGGAGCGGTACTGCTCGTCGGCAAACGCCTCGAGCACGCGCAGGTCGGCGTCGATGCCCTGAACCGCGAAGATGTTGTAGCGCTTCACCTCGTCGCCCGCGAGAGTCGCCACGATGCAGTCGGAGATGTGCTTCATCACGCTCGCGCTGACCTGGGGGGAAAACAGCGGACGAGATTGGATAAAGTGGGAAAACGGAAAGAAGGAAAGCAAGCTGGGTCGAAGAGAGTGTGGCACGGTTATCGTGAAAGGAGTCGGAAGAGTGCCAGAAGCGGGAGCATTTGCAGTCGGAGATGTGCTTCATCACGCTCGAGCTCACCTGAAGGAAAACAAAAGATGAGAATAAGAGATTAGAAATCTGGAGAAGAAATCAAATGCGAACGAGAAGGGAACGAAAGCTATATCGAAGGGACCACGAAAATTTTCAGAAAATGCTTGGACAAGTAGCGTTTGCAGTCGGAGATGTGCTTCATCAAGCTCGCGCTAACTGGGGAAGAAATTACAAAGGAATGGATGAGAAGAAACAGAGCGTGTCACGGGGACCGTGAAGAGTTTGGAGAAAGAGATTGAACTGAGAAAGAGAAGTGGAGAAAAGAAGGAAAGCACAATTTACAAAATTCCGGAACGGTTCAAAGGACACGAAGACAAGGATCTTTTGCAGTCGGAGATGTGCTTCATCACGCTCGCGCTGACCTGGGGCAATGGACGGACGAAAATAAGAGGCTAGCAAACTAGAGACGGGACTGAATGACAACGAGGAGGGAAGGGGAGGTAAGGCCAAGATACCGCGAATCGACTCAGAAGATGCGAGGACAAGCGTTAGGAATTCGGTTCATTACGCTCGCGTTGACCTGGGCGGGGAGAAGGGAGGTGGTCACGACGGAATTGGAACAACTGAAAGGAATACACAGAATATCGTGAAGCTGTCCCGGGTGAGCCCAACGAGCGCGCGATCCCGAGGTCTGGCAACTGAACTCCAGAACTCGCATAAAAGGTGGTCACGATAAGCAATCGAAACAGTGTACAAAAGCGATGACACATGGCGGAGACGAAGGGAAACCAGTGTATGAAATGACAGAAATAACGAGCTTTCTATCTTACCTTCTCGAATGCGACCAGTGGGGGCACATCGACCGCGACCCCGAGCGTCGGTCCAACTTAGACTGTGACTGCTCACGTTCTCGACACGACGCATGTACGAAGTGATTCTCGCAGTAACAGACATTTGCATTGATACTTTGAATAAAGCGTAAGGAGTAAGAACACCGTTACCTTTTCAAAGGCGTCCAGTGGGAGCACATCGACCGCGACTCCGGGCGTGGTATCCATGAACAGCAGCGCCTCCTACCCCTCCGATTCCTTCTGGTTTTCAAAATCCAAAGAGCTGCATAAATTTTGGACCACTGTATCACTCTTCAACAGGATTCTGCAATGTTCCTTTGACAGAACTGTATACAAAGATTCCCTACCTTTTCGAAGGCGTCAAGCGGGAGCACGTCGACCGCTACCCCGAGCGTGGTGTCCAGGAACAGAAGCGTCTCCTGCACGTAGTCGTTGGCCGTGCGCGCCGGCTCGTCGGGCAGCCACTCGATGCGGTTCGTACCGGCCATAAACTCGTCGATCTTGCTCTTGAGCAGCTTGATCATCAGGTCGTGCGCCACCGCCTACGGAATTCAAAATTCACTAAGTTGGTTCAAAACGCACAATTCGAAATCTGGGGAACTACTCGTAAATTCTTTCTGCTCTGGAGCAGCTTGATCATCAGGTCGTGCGCCACCGCCTGGGCAACGGGACAGTTCCAGTCTTCGAAAATTGGGGTCGTGGGGATTAGGTATTCGAAACATAATGGAGTCTCCTGACAGCTCATCATCGGGTCTCGGGGGCCGATGTCTGTGGCACTGTCGCCTGAGAAATCGAGTCACCGAACCTTTAATAAGAAAGTGCAAGTAAGATTGAAAGCAGGTAGAAGTAGATTCGCTTTCATGCAGAGTACATCCACTGAAGTGGAGAACCGGCCTTCTTTCGACCTTCGGGCAAGCCCAATCTCACTGAATCGTCCTCGCATCGAAGCACACTCTTAATGGGTCGACGTTGCAACGGCTGCTCTCTTAAAATTAGCGGACGAACCCGCTCAACCCCCTCGTTCACGGCGTTCTGTGAAACATAGGGAAGTTCTGGTGGCGGGAGTGACCGAGACATGACACGTGCGTAATGCCCTTAACATCAAGCATCCACCTCACCTGGGACCGTCGCAGCGCGGAACGTGACGTCAGGCCCCCATGCGGCCCTTCGATGAGGCGAGCCGGGATGCCGCACAGCTTGGCCGCAAACTCGGCGAAGTAGCCGCACGCGCGCTCGAGCACCGTCATGTTGGCCGCGATCTGCATCGCCTGGGACACCTGCGAAAAAGGTAGCGGACACAATCTTCAGCTTGGTATACCAGATGACTTCGTATTTAGTCAGCTTAGGTTTGTTTGTGTGGCCCCCATTCGGTCCTACGAGACTCTACCAACGAAAGCCTTGCAGCCCAACACTATGCTCAGATCCAGCGATCGGTAAGCTGATTGCGCCTGTCAATATTCGGAGCTGCCTGTTCGCCAGCTTTAAACACAAGTCGGTGCTCGAAAGCCTTTCCACTCGCTGAGTCATTCGTTTATTTGAAGCATTCCTTCTCCTTGCCAGCCCTCCATGTCGATTCCGTCAAGCTCTGCCGATCGGAACCACAGCCGTTTGTAAGCCCTCGACCCCGAAGTCGAGACAGGGACAAGGAAAAAGCGAGAAATTGTTGTCCGAGTCATACCTGCAGCGAGGGCGTCTGGATGACCCGCAGCAGCGCCTCGTTGAGCACCGACGTCAGCAGCCGGTCCAGGTACCGCTTGACGACGTCATACACGTCCATGTGCGCGCCGTGCGCGAGGAAGCTGACCGAGTCCTCGATGAAGCTGCGCACGACGCGGCAGCACTGCGGGACCGTCGCGGAGAAGGGCGCGACGTACGGGAACGCGACGGGCGCGTCGGACGACTGCAGCTTGAACGCGACCACGTCCATGTCGTACTCGAACTCCTTGCGCATGACCATCTTCTGGTACGTGTCGTTGGCCAGCGCATCCTGCGGGGGGAAATTTGTGAGTGAAAACCTGAGATTTGCATGAGTTTTGCATCTGGGAGGCAAGCCTGTTGCTCCGATGCTTCTTATAAGAGACACTAGCGAGAGCTTCTCGCGCATCACCATCTTCTGGTACGTGTCGTTGGCCAGGGCATCCTGCGGCGAATAAGTTGCGAGATCAATTTTAGAAGTGGCCTCTGTGAAGGTGGGTTTGGCGAGACGATGCTTCTGGGATGTGTTATTGGCGATATCATCCTGCGGGGGAGGACTTGGGGTTTAGGCTTTGGTTGTAAATCTGAAAGGTGGGTTTGCCAAATCGACAACTTCTGGTGTGATAGGCGAGCGCATCCTCGGCTTTGAGAACACTTCTCTGATGTCACGGCCTCCGCACTTCCGATCTGACCCCTCTGCCCGCTTTCTTTGGCTCTTGCCCTCTGAGAAGGCCCGATATTGACTGTGGAGAGTTGTCAATCAAAAGCATTAGGCCACATTGACTAATCATGCCTGTCACGCCTTGACACGTTTGCTTCGTCAAGATGGCTTGCACCAGACGCACGAATTATCTTCGCCCAACTTCAAGCTCTGAATAACAATGTCATATCTGCAGATTGTGCTCGTTGTTTTCTAGTCGGTGACTATGAAGCATCGATGAGCTGTCCGCCTTTAGAATCGATTATGGAGAAGCGTAGTCGGCACTTGATCGGAATTTGACAACAGCACGTCCGCAATCTTTTGAGCCGAGCGTCCCTTGCCTGTATCTTTTTGGAGCAGTCGTGCAGCAGCATCTCGTGGTACTTCTCGCGCGTTGTGTCGAGGACGTCGAGCAGCGGGGAGACCTGGTAGCCGTACCGCCGCAGCGTGGCGCACAGCAGAGACACAAAGTCCTTCACCAGGAGCAGAGTGGTGGCGGTGGTCATCCTGGGGGGCCACAAAATACGAGATGAGATTCTGTGCGACTATAAAGAGATGGGGAATCAATGCATATTAAGGTGAAGTTATCGGAGAGGGTATTGTCCAAGTATGTGAGGCGTAGCCTCCGAAGGTGAGAATAGGTGAGGCAAGATGCGGTCGGAACAAAAGTTTTTGGGCTTTTTGCGGATATCACAACGCACAGACGAGATTGCGCCGTAACTCATACAATTAAAACAAAGAAAAACAAGGTGACTCTGATCAGGAACACAGAATAGAAAAACTTCCTGAACAGCGACAACGAGAAGTAAAAGGAGACAAGCGTGCAGCTATAGTCCAGTTGCCAGTCGGGCTAAGCGCACCCAGATTCTGTTTTGCTTCCACTTCTAACCACTCTCCAAGGGCCAATAGCTAGTAGTAAACAGAGCGAACTGTGGGGACAGCAATAAGCGGAGCGATTTGTTATCCTTTTCTAATGCACTCTTGTCGGCATTTGTACTCGATCAGTTAAACAGCGCCAGGCTGAGATCTGATACTTGGGCTTGATACTGCACCCACTGCTGCTTCTCAAGAATTGCACTGGTTGAGAAGGCTGGGTTACCCCCCACATTTGCCTCCAGTTCTTACTAAGTAAAAAGATTCCTTCGATTTTTCAACCGCGCCTGCGATTTGAAAGACCAGCAACAGAAAAAACACGTGTCAAATACCTCCAATTGTATTCTGCAGACCGAGAGCCTTCTCCATCTTAGCTTGAACCACCAAACCAAAACGATCCTGCCGAAATGAACCCTTCGATGATAACAAGGATCTTCAGGAACCTCCCAAGCCGGTAGCCCCCAACTAAAGAGCCTCTCAAATGGAAGACTCAACATCGAACCGTGCAATCCGCAATACCCCCCGGCCCTCACCTCGAGAACTGTTCCTCCATGACCATGCGCATCTTGGTAATCGCCCCCTCCCACAGATTGTCCACCTGCGCGCTTGACACCAACCCTCCCGCCGTCCTAAGTACCCGGTCCTCGACCACAAAGAACCCCGTGATCTGCGCAAAGTACCCTTGGTACCCCTCCAGAAACGACTGCCCGGGCTGAAACTGCAGGTCGGAATTGAGCTGCAGCTGCCGGTTCCTGTAGTAATAGTCCCGGAACTGGTCTTGCAGCCCGAGACACGTATGGATGTAGTGCGCGCGGTAGACGGGGGTCAGGTCGAACTTGAGCAGCGAGTCGTCCTCCTCGATGTCTTCCACTTCCAGCATGTAGATCCCCTCGCGGTGCCCGGAGCGCGTCTGTTCCTCCGCCTGCCGCTGCCGGCCCCTCAGGTCCTTTTCCCTCTGCCGTGCGGAAGCGGCTTGTCCAATGGACTGCCGTCCGATGTCTCGAGAGATCCCCCGGATGTGCACCAGCCAATCGCTGAACTCCTTGCTGACCTTCTTCTCAATGTGGAGCCGACTCGCCGGGATCTGCTTCTCGAGGTAAACCCTAAGCGCTCTTGCGGGGACTCTACGCAGATAGTCCCGCTCGATATTGTCGAGTGTTTTGAGCGCAGGGTAGTACTGATCCCTCGCAATGTGCTCGTTCACCTTCACGCACAGGTCGACCACCGCCTTGCACTTCTTTAGCCCCACAATTGCCTCCGTCAGGTTCTTGCTGATGTCATGGTGCTCCACAAGCTCATCTACCCTCGACAGCGTGGCACTCCCAACCTTCTGCAACTCGGCATTCTGGTCGCTCAATCCGTTTTTCAGCTCCACCGCATCGACCAGCACGTACCGAAGCTCGTCTACCGCGTGAATGAACTCCTCGTAATGCAGCCGGCACAGCTCCTCAATCTCGCTCTCCTTCTTCTTCACGAACCCCTTCAGCTGATGCAGGAGGCCCTCTGGTTTGCTCATTTCGAAGGCGGACCGCACCACCGGTCCAAGGTCCTCATTGTTTGCAATCAGCGAAGCTAGCGCTGCGTCGTCGATGCCCACCGGCCCATCAGGGGGCCTGTGCATATCCCCGTTTGTGCCGGCGGCAGCGCCCCGGAAGCCGGACTGCCCCCTGTTGACCGCCATATCGCGTGATTGGCCTTGCAGGGCGCCCTGATCCACCAAGTGCGCTGACCATGCCCTTCTGAAGTTCGTTGTACAGCGCTAGCTGCCATGAGATTCTGATCAGCATCCCTAGAGGCTAGTTGTGTCACAAAATAAACAAGTGTGCAGGCGCGCGCAGGCGCGGTATTCCGTTTTGATTCCGGTGTTCCGCGTATCCGGCCACGACGACCAGAACTCAGGTGCCACATGTCATCACCACCTGCAGATTGATGTCGACACTGTCATCTGCAATTTATTAGGTCTATGATGGCGGGCCAGAATCTAGAAGGGAGACCACGTGGCTGGCTCAAAGCCGTTTCCTCGCCACAAGTTTCCCAACGAAGAAGAGTCGAGAGGCTTCCTCGGACCTCCCTGTCGCCAGGATTTGCACCTGGCGCAATCACAGCGACGTCATGGCGGCAGCATCTACCGGTAGTGGAATCGCCTTCAGGGGCTTCGACTGGACACGTCGCCTGGCCCCTGCAGACTGCCCTGTCGACATACCTGTTCCTACCTAAAACTCTCAGACAAGGCTGGCAAGCCCGCAGACCGAATGCGGATGCTTCTTCAGGAGATCTGCATGCAGGAGCTTTCCTTGTGACCACTGCTCATCAGAATCATTTGAGCGCGCAGTCCAGTGATTGCGGATTCACAAAGCTGGTAAAGTCTGCTGTATTGACGCAGCAACGTTTTCACCAGCTCACGTCGTTGCGCCACTTCTGCATTCTGTGTGAGCGCTTGCGCCCGTCGTCAAGTGGTTCAAGGTAAGGGCAGCTGACGCATCTCTGTCATTGCATTTGTGTGTTAACGTTGCTGGAGGGGAGTGGTGTGGCGCGCCACAGTCTGGTGAAGACTGTAACGTGGCATTTGTTGAGGTAAAAGGCTGCAGTATAAGTGATTCGATCTGGAAACCCGCGCGCACAGAGTGTCAGCTGAAGTACATAAATGGAAGCACGAGAGCCTATGCTGCAATCGATGATATCATCTATGTTGGACTTGTCGAGCTAGGCTGGTTGTGCTGCAAGTTCAGCATGATGCAGAGAGAAACATGTGCTCTGCTGATGCAGATCTGCTAAGCTCATCCACTTAGAGAGCCCCTGAACAGTAGCATTGCGTTCTGGCTCAGGTCGACTAGCGCCTTTCCTTGTCCTTCTTTACACGACCTCTTCTCTTTGCAACCAAGACACCAAGCTCAAGTTCCAAAAACTAACGCTTCTCGAAGTATGATGTTGTGACATCTGGCACATTCTCGCAGGTCTGTTCATACGCGGCATGTTCACACCTTTCTTGCACTTTGCAGATGGCTCGTGTACTGTTCCTTCTGGCTGCCCTGGCGCTTATTCACACTGCCACAGCCCAGCAGATGACAATGGGCGAGGACCTTCTCTCAGCTGGTGTGAACTCCACTTTCCTAACCACCCAGATGGTTAACTACACTGCAGATATTCCGCTCACGGTGAGTGCCGATCACCATTGGCGTGCTCAGAGTTTTTGTATGTTACAACAACTACGAAGAAATCTCAACTCTCAGTGATGCCATGTGGAGTAAGATCGACGCAAATGCAGTCTTGTTTCCTGAGAAAGTTGTGATTCTCAGGTGTGCACATAGTGCACATGTTGCTTTGGGCGTGAAGTCTTGTAGCCTCGTTCAGGATAAAGCCCAAGTATGTTTGGTTGAGGCATCTCTTGCGAAGAGTGGCTTTTTTGCGACTACAGATCAGGACATAGCTACAATCCAGTGCAACACGGCCTCGGATGACTCTTTAAGTGCACTTATTGCAAAAGCTTTTCTAGTCCCTCTGTGTCAAACGGCTTTGAATCTGCATCTTGTCAGATGCTGACCTCTGCTTTGCTTTGCTTTGCAGGCCTTCCTGGCCTATGACAACAGCACCACTGCGCCCCGGCCCGCTGTCATCATTGTCCCTGACTGGGATGGCATTGGCGGGTACGAGATGTGGAGGGCCAAGTTGCTGGCTAACCTGGGTTACGTAGGTGGGTTACCGCCCATTGTTACTCAGAGGTGTTCTCACAATGGAAAGGATGCAGCTAGGCCTTTTGGTAAAGCGAGGGTTCTGCAGGTTTAAATCAAGTTCGTCCGAACTGAGCATCATGATCATGAGTTATTGTCAGTCCCCACCTAAAACTCGGTCCCCCTAACCCCTAGCCCTTCAACCCCTAGCCCCTTTTAGAATGTCAATCCTCAGCCTCCTCACCCTCATCACTCAAGCCCTCAGCCACCCCTTACCATCAGCACCCTAACCCTCAATCCACTAACTCTCAGTCCGCCCAACCCCTTCGTCCCCTAACCCTCAGTCCCACTAACTCTTAGTTCCTTTTAGTCCCACCAATCAATGTGCAAGAAAATCAGTCCCAACAATCAATGTGCAACTTTTCTTGCAGCTATGGTGGCCGATGTGTACGGCTCCAACATCTCGCAGGGCCCCGCTCTGCCCACCTCCGTGCGGTCCTCCCTCCTGATGCCGCTCATGTCGAACCCCGCCCTCTTCCGGAGCCGCATGATTGCTGCCATCAACACGGTAGGGCAGGCACTGCCCTTGTCTCTTTCTGGGACAGCTTTGCGCCGTATGTTCTTTCAAGCTTTTATCAACAGAATTCCTTAAAGAGGAAGCTGGCTTAGATTTGTGGAGGGAAAATTTCAACACAAGGCTCTGCGAGGAGTCAGTTATAGTCACCTTTCGTGGGCGCAATTGAGACTGCACGCTTGTCACTTACCCTTAACGCCCACTGAAACCAAGCTTTGACTCGGCTTTGGACTCGTCTCGGTACGATCGTCTTTTGACTCGTCTTGGTACGAACAGCTATCAGGAGCCTGCTTGACTATTTCAAGTCTACTTGAGCCAATCTTTTGGTCTCAAATGACGCCTGGTCATTTTGCCCGGTAACAAGCTTCCCAGGAGGCCACTTTCAGGTGCAAGAACAAGCAAACAGTACGGATCCGAGACATTCAAATCTGATCAAAACAGTACCTCAATCTCCCATGATACTACGGTACATGCTAGTCATCTGGTGACCATCCCACAAGCAAAGGTATGACGGTTCGCTGACCTCACGTCTTCTTATCGCTTTGCAGGTGAAGACGCTTCCGATCACCAACACCAGCGCAATCGCCGCCATCGGCTACTGCTCCGGCGGAACCGGAATCATTGAGCTCTTGCGCGCTTACCCCAACGGCACCGAGGGTCTTCGCGGTGAGTCTTGATAAATGTTGCGCACGTTTCTGACGCCCTTACAACTTTCGAGTGCTTTATTGACGACGCTCCATCAAGCGGGCTCAGAAATATGCAGCCGCCCTTTCGAGTCTGAAAGAATTGGTGGTGCGGCGCTCTATGAGATTCTCGAGTCATGAGCGAATCGTTGGGAAGCCACTGGGTAGTTGCACACCAGAGTGGTCCAGCATCCTCTGTTTGATGCCCTTGTACAACTCTTCAGGCTGTGTCTTTTTCCCAAGTGCACGTTTGACAAAGACACACGTTTTGGGGACTGAGAGCTGAGACGTTTACATCAAGCGGTTTCAAACCAAACCGGTCATTCTGCATTCTCGATGGCCTCCAATACCACGTTCATCCGGCAATGGCGCACCAGTCTATTTTGTATATCTGTATTCTCCGTGAAGCTGGACTTTCTTCCTGAAAGCGCCACGGTTGGTCCGTGGGCGGCGCTTACAAACCGACACACGGAACAGAGTATCCGAACTCGCTTCGATATGGCCGTCGAACTCTACCGTGTGTCCCGCAGGTGTGATGGGCTTCCACGCCGGCCGGCTGAACACCACCGGGACCAAGGCCGTGCCCAATAACCCCATCAAGCTGTCGCTCCAGAGCGGTGCCAAGGACGCGTCCGTCTCCGGAAAGGCGGAGATGGTCGTAAGTCCGCTTTTCCCGCCCTCCGACTCTTGTCTTGGTCACTGTTGACCTACGTTTTTTGAAACTTGCAGGCATCTTATGTTGTTGTCCAGTGGAACCTTTCGTCAGCTTTGGATCTTTTCAATGTCCTTTGCAACGCCTTATGCTGACAAGGCCAGTTTGTGCGGACTGATTTTGCCACCCTTTTTAAACTCTTCTGTTCTGTCAGGATTTCTCAGGTCGTGTTTCGGCCTCAGTGAGGACCCACGTCTGCAGAATTTGCCTTTCTTTTCTCTACTTGGCCTAATCCAAATTTCAACTCACACTGAATTTCCGCTGGCCTTCGCTTCTTCTTGTCAAACTGTCATCCTACCATTCTGCTTCGACATTGTACAAAATGTTACAGCTTTTCAAGTACAAGGAGACAACTTTCACGCCGCTGACATCACCGTCTACCCTCGCTTGCAGGCTGAGATGGACGCGGCTAACGTCACGTGGGAGTTCACCGACTATTCCAACACTCTGCACTCCTTCACCAACCCCGCCACCAACGCGAGCGGAAACGTGAGCCCGCAATCTGGAATCTGCTTTTCGCTCTAGTTACTTCCGTTAAATGTCTCGCGATCTGGAGCCTGCTTTCCCCTTCCGATTGCTGCCTACTTTGGAGCGTGCTTTCCGATTTTCTTTCTGCCAATTCTGAGATTTGCTTCCGCTCTGCTTTCGCTTTCTTCTCTGGTTAATTGCGAACTCCTCTCCTGCAACCCTTCTGCCCGCACTCTGCTCTCTTGGGGAGTCTCCTTCTGCTCCATTCTGAGTTTTCTGGTCTGTTTCGGAGCTGGCTTCCCGCTCTAGTTTTGCTTGCTTCCGGCACTCAGATTATATATGAGGCCTTCGCGGGGGTGCGACCCTGTCGAAGTGTCGTTCGTCGGTTTGGAGTCGCCTCTTTTGTTCACCCGAACACATAGTGAGGGCAAAAAGTCCGTAGACGGTGTAATATCTACCAACTGTGAGTCTAGACCTTCAGGCGGGATTCTTTCGATGCTCGAGGCAGTGCTAACGCGCTTCTGTTCCTTTCTCTGCAGTCCGCCTACAACGCTCAGGCGGACATGCGCTCCTGGGCATCCCTGCGCGTGTTCCTGAACGAGATCTTTGGATTCGTGCCTATGTCCAATATTTACACATACGCTATGGGCAACTCGCTGCCAAGATAATTTGCCCGTAGTGCCGTCAGCTCGATGGCCTGAGGGCTACTTTTCCCCAACTTTCGAGACGGTTGATAAGCAGAGAAAAGGTTGAAAATTAGTCATGTTACAACATGTTGGGATAGGGGTGTGCGTAAGAACATTTTTTGAGGTCGGCTGCCACCAGGCACCGCTGCGACGCACATTGCTCGCAAACATTCTTGAGAAACGGTCATCTTCTGTGAATATCGACACTGATGAGAACTTGAACACGTCCAAACGGATCCGGATGTCTCCTCAAGGTTCAGGCCGGAGTCATGTCTTGACATCATTCAACGCGTAAGCCATAAACTTATACAATAAAGCAATGAGAACTCAGCTAACCAGAAAGCTTCCCCAAGAGATTGCTTGAGCTCGCATATTGGCTGCACTGGGATCGTTGTGTGCTGCGCACATGTGACGCAAGATTTCGCTACCAAGGCGCGCACAGCCAGGCGTCCAACTTCGGGCTGCCGCCTTGCACAGGCATATAGTTTGAGAGCTGATAAATTGATAAATCTGCGTTATGGGAATGGCGGCCGGCAAAGCTGGCGCGGCAATCCACCCGACTTTCCTCATGTTAAACATCTCCGGGGTATATAACATGTTGGTAGGGACGCTGGATTAGCTACTTCCAAAGCAAAGGGCCCAACCAGTCATGCATGTACCTCAGAGTGCCACTGGCATGGTAGCTGTCAAAACAAATTGCGATCAATTGGACGTGGGATTTCGAAATAATATTAAAGATTATGCACAAGAGAAATATGTGAACAGATGAGTCCAATACTGAAGCCCTGCAGAACGCCAGAAAAGAATTGGTCGCCAGAACGTTTGTACTATTCCCAGGCATTCATTGACGAGCCGATATAATTGTGCTTAGGTTAGGAAGTGTAAGCTAAAGGGTCAGCTTTCAGAATGCGGAAATTTGGATGGCCAAACCGCAATTGGACTTCCCGGCTCAGGTCCAGCCGTTGTCATGGCAAAGAGCTTGGACACAAAACAGTCAATATGGCGCTCGTATGATCGAGCAATTCCAAAAGCAAGTTCTCAACCTCGCCAACCTGCCAATTCCTAACTTCCAATGGACATCGCTAATCGCAGACTCAGCAATACCTGGGTGAGAGAACAAGCTCATTAGCAAGCTAGAGTATATCGTTTACTCATTGTCAAATCTGTGTTCAGGGTATCTGTGCAGGTAAGTCGGAGCGTCATCTTTTCGACAGCTTGTCACTCCTTTTCTGATTGTTAATCGCTCGATATCGCTGTCTTCAATCAAACTCGATCGAACTTTTGTGGTCATTGGTACATGCGATGACGCCATCTCTGACGTAATCAGCATTTGAAATGTGGTTCCATCCTTCCATGTACGAAGACAGTGGCTCAAGCTTTCTGCAAAACTGTATATCTACGAAATCAAGGGATGTCCACTCTCGATAACCCTCCGGAAGATTTTGAAGCATGGGCAAGTGGATCAGATCCAGGCTTTTCAGATCCTTCCATGCTCTGACAGTTTCAGGAAGGGAGGAGAAGGACGAACAGGCGATGATCCACAATATTTTCAAGTTCCTCCATTCTCCCACAAGCTCCGGCAAGCTTCGAAGAGCAGGGCAAGAGAATATCGTACACTTCTCTAGGAGCTTCCAATTCCCCACTGCCTCCGGCAGAGACACAGTCGCGTCGCTCGAGTGCAACTTGAAATGTTTAAGCCGTTTCCAGCCTCCCACGTAGCTTGAGAGCTCAAATTGCTCGTGCAGCCTTACGAGTTCTGCTCTCTCCAAACGGTTCCATTCAACCACAGTTGGTGGCAACTTTTTGAGCTTCTCGCAGTCACTCAGCTCGAGGTTGCGTAGGTTCTTCCAGGCTCCGATCTCGTCAGGAAGAGTTTCCAGACTGGATGCAGTGGACAAGTTGAGCGTCTCAAGCCGCGTCCAGAGTCCCACTTCCTTTGGTAGCGTTCTCAGCCCCTCAAAGTTTTCCAGAGACAGCTCCCTGAGTTGCGTCCATTCTCCAACTTCTTTTGGTAACTCCTCCACCATAGGGCACCATTGCAAATCTATATGAGTTAGCATCGACCAATTTCGAACTGCTTTTGGGAAGGATTCCACTCGTTCGCAGTCGTAGATGATTAGCCGCCTCAGGTGCGGCCAACATCCGACTTCCTCCGGAAGCCCGTCAAGAACTGAATCCGAATTGAAAACGTGCAAGCTCTCTAGGATCTCCCAATTTGCAAGGCTTTCTGGCAGGCTAAAATTTGCACAAATTTCCCATTGCTCATGCTTGGCACCCCTAACCGGCCGCCTGCAACATCGCAGTTCAAGATGCTTAACAGCCCTGCCAAGATTGTCCTCTTCCATCACCCGGCTGCTATTACAGCAGCAGAAGGAGAAGCTCTCTGCGTTCGGAAAGAGCGTCAGCAGCCGACTGCCACGCAGCCCCATGTCGTCCTCCGCACGAGGGCCCCTCCGACACCTGACGCGGACCCTCTTGGCTGCCGTCCTCCCAATCTCGCACCACGTCTTGCATACCTCTGTGAAGCTTCGAAGGTCCTGAGACGACCAGATCGCGTTGCGTTCCTGTGTTTGTTCAACAAGCATGGCTATATGAAGAAGGACATCTGTCGGAAGGCAGCTGATATCGCTGTCAGAACCGTTCTGGTGGCCAACAGGAAGTGCCATTGTCTTTCGAGTGGCCTATTCTATCAGTATTCTAGGGGCGGTCGCGTATGCCGAGCGGCGCCTTCTTCACTGTGCTGTTCAAATGGATCACGCTCACGAAGCCCCAAACCACGAAAGCTGAAGGAGCCGCGGGCGGCTGCGCGTGCCGCTCCTCGCTTGAAAGTCAGCACTGCAAATCTAATGCTGGTAACGTCACCCTTTTGGTCAAAATTGGCGCCTTCAGCAGCTCAGGCTGGACTTCCAACGCTCGTCGGGCCCGGAGCGATGATGTTTGATCGAAGGCACAAGCAATTCATTATTCCTCTTATGCCGTCACGTCTCTGGCAGTGAATCAGCAGGCTTCTCAATTCCGCGCCGGCACCGGACTTCAAGCATTCTTACTTTCTCGAGACAGGCGCATATACATGTCAAACTTCGTCAGAGTCGCTTGCAGGGTTGATGCTATACGTGTTCTTGCAGCCTGCATGCGCCACAGCATCATGATGGCTGATGTATGTCTGTAATGATGAGGTCGAATTTGATTGCGGTCGGATCGATCCGACTCGTTATGAATAGTCGTGGAGGTATGCGAGACCATTTTCTGATACTCAATGTGCGCGTCCATGGAAAGCCAGGCTATTACAACGGCATGATGCATGGACTGAGTGGCGGCAATTGAAAGACAATGTACTTCCCTTTCTCATATACTGCACCACTGCCCAGCCGCCGCGCTGCTGAAACAGACTCTAACGTTGCTCAACATCATGCAGGCTCCAGAAAGCAGACTACGAATGATGATCGATTCATTGCAGGACCCTTCGACTGCCACGCACATTTGCGCAGCTTTCGACTTCTATGTCACACCAATCCACCCAGTCAAACCAATAGCCTTCAGACCGTCACAATCTTCGATGCATTTCAACCAGCCGGGCATGATCCAAGTCAGCGAGGGAATGGACATTGAACGACAGGACATGGATAGCTACAGATCACAGAACCTTGTTCCAGCCTTTATGCAGATGTCCATTTACGAAAGGGCATAATATCATCACCGCCAATTTAGTTGTGATTGGGTAAGCTGTCGTTATACTAGGTTTGGTGACTGATTTAGCGAATGCAATGATCGTTTTGCTAAGGTAGCTAGACGTTCGAAATTCAAACATCGATTCCCGTGTATGCAATGGAAACCTAGGGCCCATGTGGCTACGAGGTTTGGAAAGAGAACATCATCATCTGACTGCAGAGATCGACCTCAAGGAGGCAAGCTGACCACTGATTCCAGTCGGACTGCAAATACTCGAAAAAATGTAAAGGAACGCTGGCTGTAACCACTGACAGTGTTGACGACGCACACTCCGACTGCTCTCTCCAACATGATGCTCGTATATTCACCTCAAAAGAAAGCCGTGCACCCTCCCGCTGTACAAGCTCGTCAGAGCAATAGCTATAGAATCTCCACGCGGCTGATCCTGTTTCTACCGTGTCGTGCGCTTCATCATTTCAGGCGCCCCGGGATTGATCCCTAGCAGCATGTTCCCCCCGCTGGGCAGGTATGCCACGTTAGGCGTCTGGGCGAGCGTGCCCGCAATCTCCCGGGCTGCCTCGATTCTTCTCAGCTCAATCAGGCCGGAACCAGCGCTCGCGGTAGCCTCTGAGATCTGGGGGGAGAATTGGGCAAACAAGTCAGAGACAAACTGTGCCCTTAAAACTCGGAGCTGATAAACAAGATTCGAGAATTGAATTCTTACTAAGCGCCGACTGCAAAGGAAGCGGCTAGCGGGCGAACACCGAGAATCCTAGCCTGGATGTCTACATTGACACACATAAAGCCTAGCCTAACGCCGATGCGCAAATGCCGGGGCGCAGACAGAAATGCCGCCGCAGAGCTTGAGAGCACCAATTCCCTTAACCCCATACGATTTACGTCCGACACACAAATAAATCGTCGGTTGGCAAAACTCTCGAGGCTTGTACCCAACAGCGTTCTGACCTACGTAAGCTGGTCAAAGGCAGAATGCGCACACGTCGAGCCGCTGAAGGAAAAGCGGCCTCCAGGATGAGGGGCTAAAACACTAAAAACCTAAAGAGCTGAAAACCTCACCAGTCGCGCTGCCTCGCTCTCTCCCTCCGCCCTGATGACAGCCGCGCGCTTCTCCTGCTCGGCCTTCATGACAACGAACTTCGACCGCTCCGCCTCCTGTTGGGCTGCAAGCACAAAGGGAAAGCACGCTCAGCACATGTGCGCCCTTTGCAACGTCTGGCTTACAGAACTCAAGGATTTGGGTCGTTTTAAGACGTCCACACCTTCTGAGACGTTTGGGCCTTGCACAAGTGGATTCGGACCGCTCCGGCTCCTGTTCGGCTGCAACAACGGCGACACAATAAACCACGTCCAAAACGCCTATATTTTGAAACTCGTTCGTTGGTCTGCAGCTTATCTCCGGTCTGCGGGTTGCAGAGTTTCAGGAGCTTCAAGGTTGTTCCTCCCCAGACACGCAGCCATCATAAAAGGCGAATGTCGTTTCAATCATGCCCAACGGCAGGCTCTTCATTTCTTATTTCTTTAGGTTAACCAAAAGGTCAGGTCGCGGAAGACACTCCGTGAAGGATGAGAGAATGGACGGAGAATGGAACCGCCGCTCGAAAGTGGTCAACTCCAGCAGGAAACGAAAGTGCAAAGACACGGAATTTCAAGAATGAGGCCACCCTCTTATTCTGGGGACAAGAAGAGCCTGCACAAGCTCTGTTCCCGTTGACTACTCTGCGTCTCTGATCAATGGAAGTGTGGCATTGTGCCTCCTCTGAAGGTGCAAGAGCCAATCGTTGAGCCCAAAAGAACTGTTTGCGATCGTGCATCGAACATCGAGAGTTGCATATATCAGATAAGCTGAAGACTTTGCTCGCTGATCAGGAATATGAACTCACGCTTCGCAATCTGGACAGACTTCATCGGCTAGAGTGAGGGTTGGACAAGTCTTCGGACGCACAAGCTCCAACGTAACCCTTACTGAGAAGAGGGACAAAGCATTTCTAAAAGCTTACCGACTTGCTTCGCCTCAATGGCTCGTGAGAACTCTTGCCCGAAAGAAAGGTGTGTCTGCAGGGGGACAGGGAGAGCATCAGAAAGATGCAAAGAGGACGCCCGCCGCCCTGCGCGCTGTGCGTAAATACCTCTGTTTGCAAACTCTTGAAAGAGGTGACTGTCCACCTAGAAGAGAATAACTGCTCTCCCACCTTATCTACATGATAAACTTTCTTTTCAAGCACAGTAAACCAGTGTTCAAAGTTGACCTGTGCCCACGACCCGCCAATCGCTGATGGACTCGGCTTATCTCCCCATAACCTTTACACAGCGCTGCACGCAATCTGCCTCACACACTACCGCGACAAACCAGACGGAGGCACTCTTAACCTGGATCACCGGTGCGTTTCAGGAACGTGAAGACGGATGCAAAGTTGGAGCAGAGCCAAGGAGTAATGCAAGCGAGCTCACAATAGCAACGTCGTCAAGAAGAATGTTGAAGTCCTTAGCCCGCATGACCAGGCTCTCACGGACCAGCTTGGACACCTGCAGGGAAGCCCGGACGTCTATTAGCACTGGAATCACGTCAGCACTCGTGACCATACGGAACGCCTTCAGTATGTTTGTTGGCGGACATAGTCGGGGCCAAGGAGGTGAAACGCTGTCGAACCCCTCCATGATTTATTTTTGATTTGTAACGCTGCGATGTCGAGTATTGCGACCTCCTGCACTCCTTAGTGTAACAGCGGTGCTGGACAACTTCCTCACTCTCAAAATCTTTCCCCAGACCTTTTTGAAGCGAAAATCTGCCGTATCTCTCTCAATGTATGAGATCAATACTTCAGCCGAGATGACGCCCGCTGTGACATCGGCTCTTGAAGCGGTCCAACACTGGACGACTTCAACGAGCAAGCGGTGGACATCTTATAGACTGCATTCATTCCCAATCAACTTCGGCTGGTCGTCAGCGAGACGATTCTTAAATGTCATCCCCGTCTCAACTGAGCATCGAGTCGACACATTTCAGCGTTCGTCCGGACCGGATGAGGCTCTGCAAGCTTCAAAAATGCGAAAGCAACGTTTCTTTATGTAGGCGGCCCCCTGTTGAGCGGGCAACCCCAAATACAGTACATGGGCACCATGCCGGCAAATCCTTCGGATGAGCATAGCGTTTCGCCGACGAGGAGGTCCCCTTGCAAATTGACCCAAAAGCCCATCTTAACACTGAAGTAACGAGATAGAACGTACGGTGCACCAACAGGATCTGCGTGAACCTCAGAGAATACCCTTTCGTAACAGGGGGCAAGGCGGCTCAAATAACGCGGACTGAAAGAGCTCCGTCAGACCCTACATGTATCTCCTTTCTCTCGCTCCCTTCAGGGGCGGGCGGAAACAATGACAACCATAGACACCGGGGGCATTTTTGCACCAGGGGTTGACTTACATAAGGACGCTCCGTCAGCAGCTGGTCCGCATTGAACTGAGCCTGCACGAGACAAGGGATAATATGTTGATTGATTGCCTATGTGCGTTGAAGAACCGTCGAAGAAGAGCAGATGCCCCATCAGGAACGTCCTGCAACAACTTTGGTTCTGATGAGCACGCAACTCGGGAGTGGTCGACCTTGAATTTGACCGCCATAATTTGCCGACAGACTAGCGTTGAAGACTCGTGGTAGTACTGGTATGAGAAGCAAAAGCGGGCCAAAGGGAGCCTTTGACGCGGAATCTCGGGTCATATCACCAGCACGGAAACTCTTCGAGGAAGAGGGCAGTTCAAGAAAAAGTCCGTGACGACCGTGAGGGGTCTCGTTCCAAAGTAAGGCGACGGAGCCCCTTACGACAACGAACGAAACTCAGCCGACAAGATCATCCATAACCACCGCAGCCTACAACTTCTACTTCCAAGGCAGCATCCTTCCTTCGGAGGAAAAAGCGCTCATACTCAAGGAATGCAGCATCGCTTCCCAGCAAGGTGCGCTCAGAGGGAAAGAAAGACAGAAATGAGAAGGTGGTGAGCAAAAGGACCCACCACGACGGCCTTGAGGACTTCGTTTCCGATCGACGGCAGCACGCGCTCGTCGTAGTCAACGCCCAGCGTTGTGAAGATGCGAGGCAGGCGGTCTACGTCTGGCTTGGAGAGCACGCGCAGCGTCAGGTTGACCATCTGAAGATCTGCGCGAAACCAACGAAAGACAATCTCAGATGATGACCCACAAGCAGCGGGCGGGACTAGAAGATGTGCACAGCGGGGGAGTCGCGACAGGGGAAAGGAGGTTGTTGGAGCTCGCGCAGCGTCAGGTTGCCCATCATAATGTGCACAAATGACCAAAGAGATATTTTCTCAGGTGATGACCCACAAGCAGCGGGCGCGCCACAAAAGATGTGCACAGCGGAGGAACTGCAAATGGGAAAAGGAGGCTCTTTGAGAGCACGCCCAGCGTCAGGTTGACCATCTGGAGATCTGCGCAAAGACCCGAGGCGATCTCAGATGACGCTTGGAAAGTGTGCACAGTAAGAAAAATTGGTGGAGTCTGGAATGAACGAGTGTGAATGAGCAGTGCTGTCGCAGCATTGGGTTCACCATCTGCAAGTCTACACAGAAACAAAAGACGATTGCACCAGTGGCGGGTGCAATTGAACAATGTGCACACTGTCAAGAGTTGGTATTGTCGAGAATGAAGGAGAGTGAATGAGCGGTGCTTTCGGAGCGATGAAACACTAACAGGCTCTATGAATTAATTATCCCGCATCCGAGGAGTATGTGGAGCGCTCGTTCAGGATCTTGCTGATCATGGGCACTGATGGCCTTCAGCAGCAAGCGGCACAACCATTTGGGAATGAGCACGACATTGCGAGCTCACGGGATCCTCCGCTACTTCATTTAGGGGCAAAGAGAAGATCGGTGGGCACGGACGTGTGCTGAAGAAAGGAGAGGGCGAGCAGAGCACAAGTGCCGTCAGTTCAAGGATAACCGAGAACAAGATGCTGAAAAAAGGCGAAGGCGCGAAGAGCACAAGTGCCGTCAGTTCAAAGACAACCGAGAAGCAGGTAAAGTAGGACTCGTAAGAGGAATGAAAACCAAGTTGGAGGCCACCATAGAGACAGCGCACCTTTTGTACCGGTGACTGAGGTGATGGAGCGCGGGCGTGTGCGGACTTCAAAGATGTAGGGCTTTTGCAGTACGGGGATGAGGAAGTGCGTGCCCTCGCCCACCGTCTGGTCCTTCACTCCGACGAGACGATCGAAGATGACCGCACGCTCACCTCCATCAACTGCAGGTAAAGAGACATACTAAATCACATGTTCCAAATGCAGTCAAAGAAACCTGCAAGACAGGCGGACACTTTCTGTTCGATTGACCGGAAACAAAAGCGGCATCAAAGTAGATTATTGTCGGGGTGAACGGCACGCTCGCTCTGAAGGCAGCAATCAAACATAGACTAAACGGCCAGGTGAGCCAACTCGCAGTGAATTTCGTCAAGTTTTGAGCAAGTGTTGCTAGCCACAGGTCGAAGCAGACAAGGCGCCACCAAAGAAAACCCAAGGCACAAACGTCATGTTACAGTGGATGACTTGATATGTTAGTTGCTTGACAAATTTCTACATTTGATTACAGACCTAGCGCGCAACTACCACTGCAGAGTACATCACAGGGACGCCAAACACGAATTTCTTTGAAGACTTACATTCGACGAAACTTTTCGACATCTAGATCCGTAACTGCTAGCAAAACCCAAGACGATGGGCGTGTCGCTTTTAATAACTCTGCCAAAAGCAGTCGTGCTGCTTTTATAACACCTTATGGGCGTTTGCCAAAGTAACTCGCAGAATCGTCTTTTAAACATTCCGTTGAAGATATCAGCAGACCAGATTGACACAACACACAACTCGGGGATTTTGTCGGGCGAATCAATCTACAAAAGCCTGTCCTTCCTGTCAAAACGCCAGTTACCATTACCGTTGAGAGAAGGGGATGTGTAGTTGGTCCATCCATGCAGATTTGAGAAGACATTTCCAGTAGGTATCATGCTAAATACAGGATTACATCTGCCGGACTTGGGATTTCGTACAACGCATACCACTCTTGCATCAGTACTACACAATCCTTCTGAACACCTGACAGAGAAGCTTGGTGTGACCGAAACGGCACACAATAAACTCAAACTCCAGACTCAACTTGGACCAGCCCTGTTGCGCCCGTGAGGTGCAGCACACCATAGATCACAAGCACACTTTGCAGAGGCACCATTTCTTCCAAGGGATGCGCACTCACCTGTGTAAAGGGACGCTTGCAGAGCGCTCCCACCAATTCCTACAAGCACTCCCAGCTGGCCCAAACGAGAGAGGAAGGTGCCTGCACCAGCGGCCATCTTGAGATAAACTTATGGTCGCCTTCTCTCAACGAGTTGCCCTCTTACTCAGTCCAAGATAGCTTTGAGCTTGCCGATAACCCTGCACCCGCTAGCCCTTCTCGCCTGTTGCTCTTTGGCCAACCTCTACAAACCGCTACAAAATTGCACGAATGGCGATGGCGAATCTCACACTTTCACCGACAAACTTCCTGCTTCCCTCCCTGCTCAGTGCTTGCCAGTGCTTGCAAATTTTGACGATGACTTCCAAGGTACGCACCCTTGCGGACCACGTGTTTGACAGGTGCTTTCTGATTGGTTGAAAAGTCCGTTGCTATTTCACACTGTGCGCGCTAGCGGAGCTCAATATTGAACGCTGCATTCAGCTTCATTTGCTGGCACTGGAGCAAAAGCATCAAAGCATTCTCCTTTTATTAGTGTCTCCGCCCCGCCAAATAGGTGTAAAGCACACTCAAACACCTGAAGTCATCGGAGTCCTGAGTCTGATGTCAGTGGTTACGGGCTGTGGTTAGGATAGTGACAGTGACGCTGACAAGTGACATTGACTGACATTGACATTGACGGTGACCGGGGCTCTCACTGGGACATTAGGGTTATGTTGCAAACCTGTAACGGTTCGTGGCAATCGACTAGCGTTTTGTTAGGGTTACGTCATTTTCCAGTGACATTAGGGTTACTCACTGACAGTGACAACCGGGCAGAGTACTTTTGGTTTAGTGTATGTAGCCACTTCCTCCGACCCGGTCCCCATCTAGACCGGGAGCCGTACCGCAAACTGTACGGTAAATCGACAACTCTGACGGAAATTTGATCAAAGGACCTGATCTGACAATTTGATCCACGCGGACACCTTGACAGCCAATAATCCCGCGTGTAAAGAGTTTTCACACTTTCTGAAGTCTGAGACACTAATAAAAGGAGAATGCTTTGTCGTACTTGCGGCACTGGATCATGACAGCTTGATGAACGCTGCTGAGGCAAAACGTGGTCACCATCTTCCTGATCAAGGGTCGTCTGAGCTCTCGAGGCGTTTGCGACGCGTATGGTGACTGATAAGGCGGCAGCTGCTAGCAGTTTTACTGCTAGCTGCTTTAGCCTGCGTCGGTGATCGAGATTGAGACTAAAGAAGGGGCATGAGAGAGCATCACCTGACCGCTTCCTGCTCACCATGAATAGAGCTACTGCAGTTGCCAGAAGCTGCAAATTCTCCTTCCGACTAGCTGGCTGCTTAAATTCCCTCGTGCAAGATGTTGGCCAGCATGAGAGATTGCTTCTTTCAAGACGCTTCCAAGGATCAGGGTTCCATGGCGCTTCTGTTTGCTCAGGTCCCAATCGGACCACATTCCGGTCAAAGGACTCAAGTCCAAGTCCAGCACCAGGTAATCTTTTCAGACGGGGAGTGACCGCTTGCGCTTCTACGCTCAGTACGCCTAAGAATGTGCACGCGGATCCAGTCAGCTTCTCTCAGGATGGAGCAGCCAAAGTTCCATTTGTCATCGACGCAGACGAAGCCGCTCGCCAGGTGGCAGCTTCAGGACTCTCAGAGGAGGCCTATCTCGCACAGCTAGTCAAACCGACCCTCCCCTTGGCCCGGCCCGTGATGTCCAAGTTCCATGTAGGGGCGGTCGGGCTAGGCGTCAGCGGCCGCATCTTCCGGGGGGTCAATCTAGAGTTCCCAGGCCTCCCCCTGCAACAATCAATCCACGCAGAACAGTTTATGATTACGAACGCGATGCTCCATGGGGAAAGGGCCCTGAAAGCGATTGCGGTGTCGGCTGCGCCGTGCGGTCACTGCCGGCAGTTTATGTGCGAGTTGCCAGACTCTGGGAAGCTCAAGATCCTGATTGTGGACAGTCACGCAGAGGAGAGCACACTGGAGCAGCTGTTGCCTCACAGGTGATGACTGTCCTGAGCCCCTTGCATTTGCAGTTACGGGAAGGCACTTACGAAGTTTCTTCGTTGTCTAATACAAGATCCTATCTTCAATCAACAGCCTTTGCTGGCCTGCACAAGGTCAAGCTGCTCAGAAAGTGAGCTGCAGTCACTAAGTCGCTCTTCTTCCTTCTTGTTGGAGATGCAGTAAATTCGTCAGAGATTTCAGTTCTCATTATAAGTACTCCCTTGCCCTTGACTCTACTATGGCCTTTGCTTTCGTCCCACAGGTTCGGCCCCCACGACTTGAAGGAGGATGCATTCCCTCTGTTACTAGCAGAGCGAGACAACCGACTCGAACTGGAAGATGAGGACGGTAGCGAAGGGAGCAGAGAGCTGCGGGAAGCTGCGCTTGAGGCTGCGAACAAATCTTACGCGCCGTATCTAGATTGTCCGTCGGGGCTGGCAATCAGAACAGCGGGGGGAAAGGTGTACAGCGGATCCTACATTGAGTCGGCGGCGCACAACCCGAGCATGTCGCCGTTGCACTGCGCGCTAGTCGCGGCTGTTGCGCTTGGCGGGGAGAGCTTTGTAGATATACGGGAAGCAACGCTTGTGGAGAAGCGTGTGGCACAGACAGAGCACGCGGAGATCATGAAAATCTCGCTTGCAAAGATTGCTCCTCAGGCGAGGTTAGCTGTTTCTTATGCGCGGAGGAAACTGTGATCAGCTCTGTTGTCTGTCTGGACTGAGCACGTGTTGTTGGCCTGCCTGGAGCGAGCTCCGAAACATCAAAGACTACTTGAAGGCCTTCTTGAACAGCCTAATCGTACATAAATCCTATCTATACGCAGGGTTCACAAAGAAAGGAAAATGAAAGCTAGTGCCATAGTGCAACTTATTAATAGAAACGATGTTCGAATGTTGCATAGGTCCGCAAATTCAGCAACAGTTTCTATCAACCCTCAGCGACCATCAGTCCTTAATCAATTATGGTCAAATGAGTCAATTGCCAAGCACTTTTTTTTCTTGTGCTTCGACTTGATCAAACTTGAGCTTATGCATCGGTCTTTCCGATCATAGATCGATCATGTCAATACACTATTTGTACGTTCGAGATTATTACAGGTCATCTAAGTTTCATGTGACATCGGGAATAATCCGAAGCACTCCGAGCGCAAGTGAAAGGTGTCCTCACTCGTTCTGTTGCACGTTAAAGGCGATCGACTCACGCATGCTGTGTTCGAGACCTAGAGAGCTGCCGTCTATAACAATCTCTGATACTTTATAACAGTCTCAGGCAATAGCTATAAATTTCATGTTACATGAGAAGATTATATGCCCGGATTTGATCGTGTGCACAGGGGTGTATATATTTGATGCTGCAATCAAGCTAGTGCGCCTTGAAGTTGATCGTGGCGCCGCTGCATGAAACAAGCATGTGCCGCCCATAAGCGTCTACCTCGGAATCCAATGAATCCGCGAATGCAGGGACAAATCTTCGCCAGCCATATGCATGCATGTCCAGATCCACTCGGTTTGCAGGTAGTAAGAAAGAGTAGAATGTGCTCATGCACCTTAGTACTGAGGTATGCTCATTCATTCCTAATGGAAGTAGGGGTAAATATAGTACGTTTGAATATGTTTCTCGCATCCATGGCGCGAAAGGCAGCTTCCCAGCCGCAGATTGAATCGATTTCAAATAGTCCAGATTAACTCTCTCACTCGTTCTGTACAAACATCTCATATACGTTTCATGTTCACTAATCTGCCAGTGCAAGCCGTTAGTCCAATCTGAGTTAAACATAAGCCTAAGCAATCAATGTGGCAGTGGCTAGATCCGCAGCCCGCGGACTGCCGGAAGTCAAGGTACGTGTTTCCTTTTATTTTGAACGAATCTCTTTCTAGCGACATTTGCCATAACAATATTGATACTAGAGCATAGCTTCGAAGCCCTTTCTCCGGTTTCTACTTGCGACGCTGATGCTTTCCTCATACCCTACGCACGTTGTACTCATGCGACCACCCTTGTCTAGATTCTCTCTGGCGCAAGGACTACGGCTCGAGCTACGTTTGTTTGGCTGATACGTGGCAGCGGCCTAGTGGATGGTGACTTCTTTGATCTTTGAAAGGAGGCCGCTGTTGTAAGCTTTCTCGACGTCATCCATTGCTGGCTCCTTCTTGAAAGCTCTCTCGCTGCACGTGGCGGGAGCAAAGTATCAAATCAAGTTTTCAACTTTTCCTATCCTTAAACGGTGTACTTGCATGCTCTGCGATGGCTCCTTCAGAATCGCATTGCATCCTTTTTCTGATCGAAACGAAGTTGAACATTCCCTGACGCTTGACGGGTTTATTGACGCCAATCCAATGATCTCTTGTTCAACAGTTCAAAACCGACATCTGCCATCCTTCATGCCATGTCCTCCAGGCAAAGAATCGTAATTAAGCCTTCCGTCCGACTCTCGGGCTTCGATGCATAAAGTCGATCTCACACCGGACCTGCCTTTGCATCAAAATTGCGATGCTAGAAGAAGCATGTTTCCTGCTTACTGAGTCAGATCCCCCGACCGATCAGACCAGAGCGTCTAAGTCTAATTTGCAGCCGAGTCGTTATTTTCTTCAAGAAGGAGAGGACACTCTTCTCACCGTATCTGCCTCTCCAGCTCGTTCTTGTGCGCGATCCGGCGTTCCGCTTCCGCCTTCCGGCGCGCCTGGTCCGCGGCCGCCTGGTCCGCCTCCTGCTTCAGCCGCGCCTTGAGCAGCGCCAACTCCTCCTCCTTGGCGCGCACCCGCCGCTCCTGCCAGCGGAAAAGGAACTCAGGAAAGGCGGGAACGGAACCTAAAGATCGACTGTTCAAATTCAATTCGGGCGCTCCTTACCACGAACCCGTGTTTGTGCAGCATTTCCACCGAGTCACGGCCACCGCTCCTTACAGTAGAGACAGGCAGTCTCAAGACAACCATGGAATTTTCTGCAAGTCACTTATGTACAAATACTTATGATTCGTAGGTCCAAAAACTGCCGCCTTGAGCACCTCCGTTGCTGAGAAGGAGTTCGAAAAACACTGCTATACACATCCCAAGGAAAAACTGAGAAGAAAATGGCACCCTAGCAGCGCGCGCGCACCTCCTTGTCTTTGAGCTGTTGCGCGAGCACGCGCTTCATCTCCTCCCGCTTGTCCACGAGTGCGCGCTGGCGCCGCTTCTCGTCCTCCGCGTTCTCGCGCTGTTTTTGCTCTTGCAGCCGCTCCAGCATCGCCTCGTCCTGGCAGCAATATACTCGGAGTTTTACCAATCTTCCGAGCTTTATGTTGCTCATAATCATAGACTCTCTGAGCTTTAGGGTCGCGGGGCTTGGTCTGATAGCACACTGACAGTGGTCCTAAGACGCTTACTCGTGGAATTGGGCTAGCCGACTCAAGGGAAAATTTGTCTAGCCGACAAACAACGATCCGCCAGCTTCGACGGGTGCAGCTACAACTCAGAACGGTTAGGTCGAACACAGAGACCCCTTCGCTTTTATGGGCTCGAAAAAGTGCCTCTGCACTCGAAACAGAGCCTTCCAGAACCTTCCGGCCCTTTCATTTACCAGGACCCCACCAAAGCCATTGACAGACTTAAAACCCTAGAACCCTAAAACCCTTATTTCTAAAACCCTAAAACTCAAACGGACTTTCTCATCGACATATTGCAGGATTCTGGCAACCGACATCATATATGCGCTCACCACCAGGCCCTTCTTCTGCATCTCGGGAATTTTGGTGAGCGCCATCGCCATGCGCCGCGCCTGGTCGTCCTGCCGGGCCTGCCACTCCGCCTTCCGCTTCTCAGCCTGCGGAACGGAAAACGGATTCTCGGAATAACGGAAAGACGTCTACTACGCCGGAAGATGGAACTTCGCGCATGTTCTGCACACCGGGCTGACGGAATCCCTCCTGTTAGAACGGACGGAAGGAGAACAGGGTTTTCCCGGCGGACTCTAGGGACCCCCTTTCAATATAACCGTCCATAATCCCTTCAATCGCCATAAATGTTAGTGGACCCGATATCCCAGACCTTTACCTTTCGAACCTTATAATCAGGAGGGGTCTCTTATATCGGCTCGACCCTTCCGTTCTGTCATCGCTATCAGAGCCTGGTATCCTTCAGGTAGCCTCAAAGCCATCAGCATTTGCAGAGCTCTCTGGTACTCGCAATGAAAGCAGAAAGACTCTGCTCTCGCAGGTTCTTGTTCTCCAGACCCTTTCGTACGGTCTTCACCTGCTTCTCAATCTCCTCCGTGTACTGTTGCGTGTACTCGATCTCGTCCTCGATCTTCTTCTTCTTGGCCGCCAGTTTCATGAGCCGGCTCTCCTCGTTGGCCGCCAGGAACTTCTTCATCGCCTCCTTGCTCGCCTTGCGCGCGCGCTCCTCCGCCATGCGCGCCCTCTGCAAAAAGAGGCCCAAGGTCGTCATATATATATATTCGAAGTGGCAGCTCTTGCGCGCGCGCACCTCCCCCTTACGCGCGCGCTCCTTCGCCTCTGCAGAGGATGCCCGGGGTCGTTAGCCACACTCTAGAGCTGACCGCTCTGGCCCGCGACGGACCTAATTCTAAAGACACTGCGAAGCTCACGCCGCGCAACGGACGAGGAGCGAAGCACACGACAAACGAAGGTTCTGACAACAAGCGTTCGACGGCGTAGCATATTTCGCGCCGCTTTACACGTGAGCTTGCAAACTAATGATTCTCAGAATAAGCCTTCGACGTCGTAGCATATTTTGCAGCTCTCCACACGCAAGCTTTCAATCTAATGGTGCCCTTTCATTGACTCGGTATATATGTATCTGGGGACGACACCAGCTGGATTCGGAAAGGAGCTCTGACTTTCTAGGAAGAAAGGAAGGAAGGAGGCCACAATTACCTTTGAGCTGTTGGCCAAGAGTTGTTCCCGAGCTTCACAAAATCAAGTCCGACGATTTCGGCTTCTTCAGGAAAGGGCCAACAAACACAGAGCTTTTTCACCCACTTTGTTCCAACCCATGTCGGGAGTGATTCCAATCTCAGCACTGGCGTGCCCCACTTTGTTCCACGTGCTCTCAAATTGTGGCTCTTCGCCCCTTCGTTTCCTTTTTCAGAACGTGGAGTAAGGCTACAGAATATGTGCGTTCCTCCACTCATGCTGGTACGTACCTTCATGTCCCGGATGTCTTGTTTCTTGAGCGCCTCGTCCTCGCGCCGCTTCGTCTCCTCGAGGTCGCGCTTCATCTCCGCCTGCTCCTGCAGCTGCCGGTCGCGCTCCGCCTTCAGCGCGGCCGCGGCGCGCTTCTTCTCCTCCTGCCAAAGGAAGGGTGTCTCTTCTAAGGATTCTCTTCCCCCTTCCCCAAAGATCAGCGCGAGGCAAGACGCCGGAGCTCTTGAAAAGGGCACCGGGGCAACTGGACCCCCTCGGCGGCCAGCACAGTGCCCATGTCGCTCGGGACGAATTTTTATAAATTCTGGTCCGTCGAATGAAATTGTCCCTAAGAACTCAGATGCACGAGTGTTCCTTCTAATCTGACTCCCTCTTCAAGACGATTCTTGAGGCGGAAGAAACCGCGACATCCGTAAGGCAGGTTTTGGAGAATGTTCAGGATACCGTATTGTCTGTCGAGTCGGTTGTGCAGAAAAAGCTGAGTGTCGATCTCGTCTGCCTCTTTTTAGGCACTGGAATCGACTGGAGCGCGGTGCGGGTCATCGACAAGAGCAAAAATGATCAGGGTTCCCAAAGAGACCACGAAAGTCTCCCACGAAGTCTTGCGTGAAGTCCAAGACGAGGATTTTGGCGGCTAGCAAATCTGGCTCTCTACGCACAGTGGGATCCCTCAGTCCCAGCGCCAAAGTGAACCTCCAGCGGAGGTCAAAAGGTCGTCGAACTGATTCCAACATTCAAGACACGACAATCTTGGCGTACCTGCTTCCTCGCCTCCTCCTTCTTCCAGGCCTCCAGATCTTCCTTCTCCTTCGCCGCATACTCCTGGTCCTCCTGGCACGCCTCCTTCCGCTTGTCCAGGTGCTCCTTTACCTGCGCGGAAGCCGAAAGCAGGTAAAAGGTGGAATGAAGATCATGTTCTGTCGCCTGGCACGCCTCCTTCCGCTTCTCGAATTGCTCTTTCAGCGGCACACGAGCGGAGTACCGGTAAAAGTCGGAATAGAGAGGATCGTCGTGTCTACAGGTTGACTTGGCACGCCTCCTTCCGCTTCTCGAGGTGCTCCTTCACCTGCGCGGAAGCGGTATACCGGAAATGTCGGATTAGGAAGTATTGTCGTGTCTAAAAGTCTCGGCACGCCTCCTTCCGCTTCTCGAGAAGCTCCCTTACCCGGGCAATAGCGGAACACCGAAGAGAGGCACAGAGATGACTTTGTGGCCTACGAACAGCCACAACGCTCCACACATTTGTTTCCGTCCAATCTTCTCGGTTGCATTTTATGGCTGCTCGCCTGAAGAGCTTAGTGGCGAGGATGGGGAGAAGGGACGTTGGTGTTGAGTCTTGGATGTATTTGACCAGGCAGCACGTCTTGTGTTCCTCACGACTTGGATATCAGAAACCGCGTCATCAATACGTCAAAGAGCACCTTGTACGGAGAGCTTGCCATCTTCCGTTGCGTCAATGTGTGTTACTCCTATCTTGGCTTTCCGAGAGCTCGATTGCGACATCAAGCACGATCCACACACCTTATGAAGGCTCAGAAACTTCGAGATATAACCAAGAGCCTGATATACGCATGCAACCGGAAGTTGATGTAAAGCTTGCCTCCGGTGGGAGGCTCAAAAGCTGCAGGTTATAGGCTCTTTATCTGACAATCTCGCCTAGGGCGAGCTTCTAGGAGGCGCCTCAAATAACGCACCTGACTGTCGAGCTGCAATTTGATGAGCCGTCTTCTCTCAGCCTCCTTCTGTCTCTCTTCCTTCTCTTTCCTCTTTGCCTCCTCGACTGTGAACTTCTGGATCGTGACCCACTCGTCGTCATCAGTAGGACGTGTGTGCATCGATCCTGCAGGAGACAACAGCCTCTCACTGCCTCTATGCGATTTCAAAAAAGTATCGTTCTGTCCTAGTTGTTTGAATGGTCAAGCTTCCGACTCAAGTGTTGCTGACCCAACCATGGAGAATCGTCTGAAGGCTACTGTTGCGTTCTGTGACGTCAGCTGGTAGAATGAGAGGTCTGCATGCAGCCATGTTAACTGCTTTATACGTGGCGGGGCTCTTTTTGGTGTGCTGCCAGAAATAGGGTCGTTCTTCAACGAGAAGCTGAACAAGTAGCGCCACCCTTACTTTATCTACTGGCACTACGAACCTTTGACACCAGCGTAGCTTCGCGTGATCAGAAGTGGGGCAAGCTTTACTCACGAGTCGGGCTCCCGAGAGAAGTCGGTGTGTCAGGGCAGCTGTCCCGGTTTGAATAGCTGCTGATCACAAGACGCGCTCTGATCTTATCCTCAATGCTCGAGGAGTCCTCTTCTGTTGCCCCAGGGTGACTCATCACCCAGCTGACAACCTCTTGGCCAATGATCTCTTGAGTTTTGAAGTCGGCTGCAAGATACTGCAGGCCAAAGAGAAGCTTTGGTCAGCTTTGTGCGGCTAGCTAGTCTGCCATTGAAGAAAGACAACTTGTTCTGCATGCAGAATACAGGCACAGACTCAGCCTGCCAATGCAGCCATGTAAGCTGCTTCAATTGGAAGTGGGTTTGGTGCTCGTAAGAAGCTACAACATTGTGCTAGCTATATGTGAGAGTGGCTAAATACAGATTGAATCTTCTCAGAATCTGCAGGAGCAGGAAGCCTGGACGACGACAGTCCTGCTGATCAGGTGCTCAAAATTATCCTTATCATCCAGAGCCTCTTAGACGGTTGTCACTCCTAGATAAGAAGGTAGCTATCTATAACGTAAGATCTTTCAGCAGGGTACGTTGAAAATCTAGGCTTGCCGGCCACTCGACAGCCAGCAAGCAACCCTTAAGCTGATCAGCAATCGTGGCCACTTGACTAGAGACAGGAAGACGCGAAAGGTTTCTCACAGAGAACTTCTCCCTCATTTTGTGAACCAGCACCCCCATCAACGCCTCCCTGTCAGAGGACAGGCCTTGCCCCACCCCAGTGCCCCCCCTGGAAGCCCCTGCCGTGTTTGCTGCTCTTGGGCCTCCTGCAGTGCTTGGGGTCCGAAGGCGTGCATTGGTGCCTGGTCTTGACCCCGCTCGTGATTGGGGAAGGCTTCCCTCCAAAGAAAGGACATTGATTGATGGCCCCTGGCCTGATCCCTTGTTGGGAGCCCGGTTGCCCGACCGAGATGGAGGGGCGGGTGCCATGAGCACTATTAATCAGACGTCTTCAGCATTGTCCTGAAAGGGCACTTCAGGTCCTGCGCTACGCAGCATCTTCAGGAAGCTGAAGACTCAATCTATCCCGGATCTCAGCAATCAAAGGGGCCCTGCATGTACGGTACAATATTGACAACGTTGCACCAATCTGCTTCCTTTTGCAATTCAGATCAGAGATCAACATACAAGGGGTGAAAGGGCGATGGAGAGCACCGTCCTATACAGACACGTATGTGGCAATCTGAAACGGGCACCTGAGCAGACGCTTCCTGCTGAGATTCAGAGACTTTACTAGGTAACTGTATCGTGGGAGCGATCATTTGAGAGAAAATCAACCAGAAAAGCGTGACGTGATGCCATCAGATTGCCTCAGATCCTCTGACAACCAGAGCCGCCGTCCCTCGCGCACTGGCATGAGCAAGTATTTGCTCAATTGAAGCTCATTGCTTCCCGCAAATGACGCTCTGATGCTGTTGTGTATTTTATGTACGGCACATTCATGCTTTGGAAGCGCTACAGTGGGACTGGTTTACAACTGCACCGGTTCTCAACTATTAGTATTATATAGGTACAAGTCTACAGACCTACTGGTACCTACCTAAAAACAAAGGACAGCTTCTCGGATTCTTGTCGAATCGAATCCATCAAGCAGGTTCTGCCTGCAACGAGCACTCGATTCTGAATTTTTGGCGCGGCCCCCGACCAGCTGTCCAAAGTCGACTATAATTGCAGGCACTGGTACTTTAGGCACCGCTCGGAGTGGAGGTTCCGTTCGTCCGAGCGGTACGGTACCAGCGCGGTGCAAGGGACCGGAATAGCCGACTTACAAAGACAGCTGGCCTGGGTCAAGGAGAAGACGCGAGTGCGCGCCGCAGGCAAAACTGCTTTTGGCGGAGGTGAAGCGGCCGCCGGTTGAATACGGCCAAAGTTCGAGAAAGTTTCGAAGCGGGGCCAACGTGGCGCCGGGTGAATACGGCCGCTCTTGGGTCGTAACTTTGAAGCGGGCCAACGTGACGCCGGGTGAATACGGCCGCTCGTGAGGCATTTGTGCTAGAGCGAGCTGCAGCTGGCTTGCTGCGAACGACGCAATTGGCGCCGGGTGAATACGGCTGATTATTAGAAGACAAGCAGTATGTGGTCGACTGCATCGTGGCAGGCGAGTTGGGCTTCTGATGTGCGGTTAAGCAATAACGTGATTGCACCCGCTGGAGGGGATGCTGGTGGATCATGCGAGCCAAGTCCTGGGGAGAGCGGACGCTGGGAAGCGGACATCGGCTGGGCGGGAGCCGACTGGTGAGCGTTTCAGCATAGTAGGGAGGACGCTAGAAGTGTTTGGTCGTCGAGTCAACGTAGAGCGTTTGTTAAAATATCTATAGGGTGGGTTCGGGTGGGAACGAAAAAGAATGGCGCCCGAGCGCCTTGTAAAAAAGCTCCTCCGAGTTCCAACAGGAAAGAAGGAAGGAGCTGTGCGTTTCGTCGAAGATGTGCTTCAATTACATCGAACCTTGACCGTTCGATGAATTCGTCTCGCGATGCGCCAATCAGTGCGCAGTCCACTAGCTAGCTGGCGGAAATACTGGATGCAGAGTACCGTACGGGGTTTCTATTTCTGTGCGCGCGTGTTGCTCCAACGAACCGGGGCGCCGAACGTTTCAGACCTAAAAGCATCCGGCAACTCCCGATTTCGACGGCGCCGTCGAATTGGGGCCAAGACATATCCTGAATCGAAGCAAGGCGGCAACCCTAGTTTGATTCCCAAAACTTATCTGATGTCAAGGGAGTGCTATCGTATCAGGAGTCGGTTAAGACCGCGCGGTACACACTCCTCACAGACAGTGCTGTGTCAGACCCCTCGGTGATCAGCAGCCACATGCAGTACAATCCGATCAGAGAAGTGTCCATCAGAGACTTGTGCACAGTGCTTCCCGCTTCAAGCCAGCTACAGTACTTCAAGTTACAGGCGCTGTGAAAGTCCGGTCTGACGAAGAAGTAGAGGCAGCTAGGTACAGTACGTAGTAGGTAGTTGGGGCTGCAGCATTTCAACTATGGCAAGGACAAGGCGGATGTCGGACTTGCTCTCAACCTACCATTTTGATGTCGATGCGTGACTGATGCTTGTGGCATCGACTCAACAGTCGATGGCCAAACAAGAGTCGTATAGAGGAGGTTCGGATATTGGTTCATGATTCAGAATCAAAAAAGTTCATATTATTATCTCTGAACCTTGACGGTCACTTTTGCGTCTCTGAGCCTGTTCTTGCTTGGATGCAATTAAGGTAATGAGTTCGAAGTGAATTGGACCAGGACAAGTTGGTGCCGTTTAGCTGTTTCAAAGTGATTGCCGGTGTCAATACCACAGCAAAGGTCCACTGGGAGTCGTAGCAAATCAAACTTCAACGTCATTGAGTTGCGTAGAACGCTGTTGATTCAAAGCTCTACTTCTGCGCCCTAGCGGCAAAACCAGAGGCGGGAAAGATGCCGGGGGACACCGGAATGGTTGGTGGGCGGTCCAAAGTTCAGAACAACAGGCCGTGTGGAAAGTCGTCCAAGGTAAACCTGCTTCCGATTCCGAAGCAGCTTTTGTGAGCGGCCTTCTGTCAGTCAAATATACTGAAGGGCGTCATTTCAACATTGTAAGATTATCCTGAATATAGGTGGCAACTTAGAGCGCTAGAGTGGTGCCAAACCTGGCACATGCATGTCCATTCAAAGGAGCTAGTGAGCAAACTGCTCCGACGCTAGCGCTTCCGCCCAAGACAAAGACGGTACACTCTGTAGAGTTCCTCGGCACGCCCAATGCTGTTGATTAAGGAAAAGCAAGGGCCATAACATCACCCTTAGCCACAGCGAGTCATGCTTGCTAGCTGGCTGTTGGGAGTATATAAGGTTGACTTCTTGAGAAATATCTCAACAAGCTTTAGTTTACGGGCATTTGATTAATGGACACTAAAGAGAAAACAACTTCTCTTACTCTCCTGATCGAGTTAGGAAATCGTTGTTTTTGACACGAAAATTGTCAGACTGTGTTCGAAACTGTTGACGAAGAGTAACCCTCCTCCAGGGCCAGCTGTCATAAAGCTGGAGGGCTCAACTAGACTGATACCGAATTTTGGCAGGTCTCCTCGTTTCGGAAAGGCGAGAATGTGTACAACTTTGCTGCCGAGCTGGAGCCTGTGAAGCCGTGCGGGGTGCCCAAGAAGTTTCAGTCGAACCTCTTCGACCTCCTCTCCTTCAAGTGAGTCGCTCCTGTTTGGAAGGATTCAGACAAGAAGCGCACCCGCTCTAATAGATACAATTACTGCCCCAAAGACGTCACACTTCCAAATAAGGTTGCATCATAATCCGGAACAGTGATGTTGACCTACTGGCGCTCGCCTTCATACATCAGATTAGCTGCTGTTACCATGTCAACATTTGAAGTCCCATATTTACCAAAACGTCTGGCTTTCAAGGTTGAGATTTTGATTCTGAAAGCTGCACACGATGCTCTGCACCCAAAGCGCAGCCTCCATTGGGTGTTTGATCATTCCCACTCCAAAGCTGGGTCGTTCCAAAGCGATCGCGGTTAAGGGGCTCTCAGTTGAAGACAATCCGCAGGTGTCACGAACATTGAAGGATCTTTAGGACTTCGCTAGGCTTCTGAACGAGCTCTTCTTCCGTGTAGGGAGGCGAAATCTGAGCCAAAGAAGACGGAAACGGACCCCAACCGCCTGCTGGCGAACGACAGCTTCCAAGCACACAACATCTTGACAAACACGCTCCTGCCGGGACGGGACAACGAGAATGTGAGCTGCCTGTCTATCATACTTTGTAGCGAAGTAGTTCTGCCATCAAGTTGACCGTCACGACTGATTTCAGGGGAGACGTGAACGAGGCCGACTGACCTTTTAAAAGAGTGGAAACGCTAGCTCCAAAACAGTCAACACCTGAAGCGAGGAGCGTAGAACCCTCTAAACAACATTCGCTGGAACGTAGGTTGAATCAACAATCTACTCGAAGCTGCTCCAACTCAGAGGTTAGGGTTCTTGGGAAGCTTACTACGGTAGTAAAACGAGCCTTGAAAGCTCTATCTCCTTCCAGGGCCGTCCACTTTTGTTCCAGTCATTGAAGCAGATATGCGCAGGCATAAGTCACCCAGACTTCCCCTACGTCAAGAATCCAACCTCGACAGACACTCTCTTTTTTCGTCCCACAGAAGCCAGCCAAGAAGCCTCCAGCGCCCAAAGTTCCCCCCGCGGAATACCCGTCTCTGCTGTACGATCCGATCGTGGGCGAATACAAGTCAGACAAGGGCAGGGAGCTCGAGAAGAAGAAAGGACCAAAGGTTGAGAAGTTCCAAAAGAGACTCGTGCACACGGAAAGGTGGGTGGGCGCTTCACTTATCGGGCAGGTTTGGGCTCCTTTTGCGTACGGGTGTTCCGGTCCGTCATGGTGTTTGAATCCGTTTAGATTGCTTGTCTGACGAGAAGGCCAGAGGTCGCGTCTTCACCAAGAAAGGTAGTACAGAATGGGAAAACGCGAACGATTCTGTGTCTCAACCTTGCGACACGCTTCCGTCATTATAGACATTGGATGCCCAACAAGATGCTCAGGATTTCAGAGCGCTGCTGAAAAATGCAAGCGAATTTGTGCCGTCGGAAAGGTTGAGAACGACGACAAGAGGTCCCCGCCAGCTCCAATCAGATTGCAAACCTTAAGCGCTGAAGTTGCGAAGACGAAGAGCGGTTCAGAACTCCTCGCAGAAATGTGAATGTCTTCGATTTGGTCTGTGCAGTCCCCGGGACTACGACGTAGTAAAGGGCGTGTGGTCGGACCGCTTCGCCGAGAAGCCTGAAGGGCTGCGCAAGAACAGCGCCGAGGCAAACGCGAATGTCCAGGTGAGACGCGAAGCAGCCGGAAGGGGTTTGGCGCATCAGAGGGAAACTCTGATACAGACGAAGAATCTGGCGAAGCAGAACGGTGCCGCGTTGCGCTTCAGAATCGTACTAGATAAAGTCGGCTGGAGTCACTTCCGTTCCTTATTCGCTCGGACACGTGGCGATGAACGATAGGTTCTAGTCAGCAACAATTTCTTTTGGAGCTTACATCGACCTGCACGTCATGACAGAGTCTTAAAGATCAAAGTGCAACAGTCAAGGTAATCAAGCGGTAAAGTGCGATCGTGAAAAAGGATGTACGGACCACTTTCGCGAGACTAACTAGACGGATGCAGAGCGCTCCCTCTTTCTGATATCTTCAAAAACCTTCGACTAGGTTAACCATATCAATAGGATAAAATTGACTGATTCGTTCCGAAATGTGAGGTCCCATCCTATCCAGGCCGAGCGCATGCGCACCCAGTCCCGCGACGCCCAGAAGATCGCGCAGCAGGCGGCCACGCGGCAAACCAAGCAGCTCGCGCACAGGCAGGCGCAGCAGCCGCGCGCGATCGGCGGCGCGCACCCGCGCGAAGTCACGGACGCGCCCCACGGGTTTAACATCATCAACGGCGTGCCGCTGAGGCCATCAGGGGTTACGGACTTCGTCCCATTCCCCGCGCGCGAGAACATAAACCCCGACAGCAGTCACAGGAGGTCAAAGCCAAATATAAGCGGGCCCGCTTATGAGGAGTTTAGCTCCTCCCGGAAGGAGGGTATGTGGACAAGTACAAAGGGGTCAGGGCTGGTTAACTTCAAATCCACTAGGGACAGATCAATGAAAAGGATGATCAGCCACCAAGTCTCTTCCGGTGACATTCTATCTCACGACTCAGCCGGCTGACGAACTTCGTTTACAGTTCACAACTTTCAAGGTCGGAGATTCAAAACATGTGGTATTTCGGAGGGTACATTGAGTCCACCCAAAGCTAGAAACGGACGTTTGGCCCGTACTAGTGCTTATATATTCTGCTGTGTGTAGTCTCACGTCGCCAGAATGAACACGAACTAACCGCTTGGTGTCATCGGTGAATATCCGCGGATCTTTGATAAGTATCACTGAATACTGCGTCATAAGTGAATCAACTTAAGATCAGCGTTCCGACAACCCGTCAAGACTTTAAAACGGCCCAACGAAATTTTTTGACGAAGCTCAGATTTACACAAAGCTGTAACTCGTGTACACAAACCATACTCGACAATCCGTCTTCACTTGTCGCAGATGATCCTCCAGCCTTAAACGTGAGAAGCTAGTCTAGGCCATCTAAGCACTCCTGGGAGCTTATCGAAACTGCTCCGATCTGATTTCACCACAGGTCTCTGTGCTTGATCAGAATTCGGGTACAGAATCGGTGCGCCCCTCCTCGACCTCATGAACTCCCATGCCCTCCTCATCAAGTCTGTATGCTGGAAGGAAGGCACGAGTCGGCTTTTTACGACGATTGCATAGCCATCCCAAGCAGCAGAACAGGACCCCGCAGAGCGCTATTCCGCCAAACACTCCGACTGCCACTTTCCAGTCCATGTGACCTCCTTTGGAAGATGAATCGGTCAACGCCATCTGCCGCGACCAGAGAAAAGAATCGCACAATTGGTGAACGAAGTTGTGACAACACGTTCTGAGCTTGAATTCGAAGCTGTAAGTGAATACATATGATAGATCAAGATTCAAGAGATAAGTCTACCAAATAAAGTCAAAATTGCGCAGATAAGGGGGTGGATTGTAAGATCTGTTGCTGTTCGAGCCATTCATTAGGGGCCCCGAAACAATGCGACGAACCGCTGATACAATGAGTTCCAGCTTCAGCCTGTTTGGAGGCAACGGGCCGGGTACTTCCGATCAACTTTGCATTGACACGAGGAGCTCTAAACAAGCACTGAGAGCATGAAATAAACTTACCTGCTGCATAAAGAGAGCTGTCGTAGAAGCGTCCATCGGGATGTTCCCTGCACTTCAGGATGCTTGGAGTCAGTCTGCATGACTAAAGCTTGTCAATGTGCAAGGAATCACAGGTGCTGATGCACACAGGGAAAGCATGAGACTTAGCATCCTGTTTGACGACTTTGTCATTCCTCCAGGAACAGCTTGTAGTCAAAGCTGACACGTAGCTCCAACGTGACGTCTAAGATTCCATCACACTCTCAGCGGCAAATGAGTGAAAATGATTCTACCAGTACGTAAGGTTGCAGATTTCAGGTTGCAGAGACCAGCACTCGCCGCGAAAAATTAGTGAACCGTGCACGAGCTTACGTCCTGTCTGCAAAAGAAATCGAGCCCTTGTTTTTGAAGCTGACAATGAACAAATTTGGTGACAGAAAACCTGAGCAGTCTCCAAAAGATTCCTAACAGGAGCTTGTAGGTAAAAAAAACAAGCATGAACAAAGACGTCTCACCAAGTCAGACGTTCACCTGCCAGTGGACGTTGAGTACTTGAAACCCATCAGGTGCGACGTGCTTCGCTCCTTTTACACGAGAAGCACCGACTTTTGGATTCTCCGTTCCGCAAAGAAGGTCAGACGTCAAAGATGTTCTCGTTCTGACAGTTCTTACGAGCGCCGTCACCAACCGTTTGTTTCCTCTGATGGTTGCTGTCACGCTGGTCAGCTGTGATATGTTCAGCTTGTAAGCTTAGGCTTACTGGCGCCCGAACCTTGTGCCGCTGTGGTAAAACATGCAGATCTGCCCAAAGTTTTGACTGAACAAAAGCAGATGCTCTTCCGCACCTTCTGCGTAAGTCTTGAAGCCATCTAATACTCGGCGGGGCCGGCCGCCATTTGTTTGTGACATCAACGTGGCGCTTTCTGAAAAGTCACTGCAGGTCGGCCGCGCGGCGCGGCCGCCGCAGCTCGGGGGTTTCGCAAACTTAACGCTTGACGCCCAGGGATCGGCCGCGGCGCGGCCCCCACGGCCGCAGGCCCTCGCCGTAAATCATTCTTGCGATCAACCATCTGGCGCCAATTGGCATTTGCTTTTCTTCCTGATACTGCTAGTATCAAGTGGTTTTACTCAGGTTGGCAGACTTTTGATAAAGCCTCTAGGAGGAGGCAAGGCGCGAGCGCAATCTGGATACTGTTCTGGATCACCCCTCTTATTGACAGGTAAGCCGTCGAACTCTGGTGTATTTGAATAGCCAATCTTTCTGACCTCTTCCTTCATTTTCGGCTCCATTGGCAGCAGTTCTGCTTTAAATTCTAGACTGTTGCGGCTTAAGTAGTGATGTCTTCAGAAATCATTGTTTCTTGCTTCATCCATCATCCCTTTCCCATACATGATGGTATATTGGATCTGTATAAAGCCTAAAGGCTTGATCGAACATTCAGCCCGTTTCTGGTTCCTGAACACGTCTGTGGTTTCTTGAGACTTTGCTTTTCATCGAGACATGCATGTTATCGGACTTCTGGGGCACTCTTTCGAATTCCATTCATTTCTGTGCCTGACCTTGGGGGGCTTGCAGAAAGTTGACTGTCTCGGACAAAAACGTAAATGGTTGCTTGAAAGGAGGATTGGGAAATTTCCTGACTTCAAAGCGTTCTCTTTCACCAGCGTGTCCTCTGTCCTTGCGGTTGCCTCATTAAGGCGTACCTTCAAGAGATATATGCAACATCGATGATGTCTGCAACCGGCAGTGCTGCACTGACTAGGTCGTGTGCTTGAAAGCCTGTGCTTTTGTTTGGGCAGGAGAGCCACAGCTTGTAAGCATGTGATGTGCTAACAATTGTGGCTGGAACCGACTTACTGTTTGTTGCAGGCATCATGGCTGTTGTCCTGGAGTGGCTATGCAGGCGACTGCACAAGACCGATGAAGGAAAATTATCTGAGCCGCTCTTAAGCCAGTGCCCAAGCGAGTCAGGAGTAAGATTTTGTTCATCCACGAACCTGGTTTTTGGTCAAAAGACTCAAAGTATTTGTAGTGAACTCGGCAAAGCGCAGAGATGGGCCGCTTTTCATTGCTATCTAGCCAAAGACTGAAACGAAACGGAGACGCAGATGAGGAACTTTCTGGTTTAAATTCTCATGTTAGGCTTGATAGAATCGATGATAATTTTATCTCCTGAATCTGTCAGTGGCGAAATAAAGGCAGTGAGCAACCCACCAGCATTTGGAACATCCTTGACGAGGACAGAAGAACGTTATTTGAAAATTCGAAGCTTGGATTCCAGGGACTTCTTGAAATTCGCAAGATGAGAAGAGCACTGAAGTAAACGAATTGTGGTAACCTCAGCGAGTCAACTTCTCCAAGGATCTGGCCTGGTCTTATGCGGTGCATGTGATCGAAAAGGATTGGTTCATGTGTCCTTCACTTTTTCTGCAGAGCGGCCGCACTCGGCCGGCAGAATTCTATGCAGCCTGTCAGCGGATCCAGAACTTGAAGCTTATTATCATCATGAAGATAGGTGCACTTCGCTGCCAACAGTCCCGCTCTACGGGGGAACAAGCCGCGGCGCTTCAGGAAGAAGTCGATCAGTATACCACCTTTCTAAAAGCGATCATTGACCACAGTGCGGCGCTGGCAGTTGCATCCACACGTAAGACATTGCGTTATGTTTCCATGTAATCGTAGTCCATTTTACGCCTGAGAGACCAACAAGCTGAGAGTGTCGGCTGGGGCGCCCAATCAGCTTTGTCATCTGGTTCAGGGTACGTTGGTTCAAGTTCTAGTCAATCTCCTTGACCTGTCGCCTTCTACTGGAGTTGATCACTCAAGTTGATCGGTGGAAGACCCCGGCTTTGGAACGGTTCTTGGCACTGCTGATCTCCCCTTAGGCAACTTCCATAAGCAGCTACTGCACCACGTCTGAATGCTCACACAGCTTGAATCTTTTTTGAACCATTTTTGGATGTATTCCCACAATAGCGTTATGTTGCTTCCACTTGAGCCCCAACAGCATTCTAAGCACCCAATTAATTGCAATCACTTCCTGCAGGAGGCTGCGATCCAGCCGTTGATGAAAGATTTTGGCGGGAGCATACGCAGCTGCTGCAGCACGTCCCTGAGGAAGATGCTGCCAGACTGCGTCACTGCGGGCTTGAAGCTGAGTGCGAAACTCACAGCAAACATCGCGCTCTGTAACCGAGGCTACATTGGTCCTACTAATGCGCACCGATGATTGATGTACTGGCTTAGACTGGCGTCTACATTCGCTCGAAAGACGTTTGGTAAGGTCGAAATGTTTTTGAAGATTCTGGATGACAATCTGATGCCGTTTCTTGCTTTGAAGCACATGGATTAGGGAAGAGTCAGGACCAGAGAACAAACCTGCTGGAAAGAGAGAAGCACTATCTGAAAGTCGAATGTGATTCCTCGAATTCTGTCATGCGGGAGTGACTAAAAGGTTGGTCAGCTGCTACGCAGGCGAACGGGCGCATCGGATCGTTATGACATGGAACACCCCACTTCGGCGCCAGCTTACAAGCGAAGTATTCGGGGTTCTACGGCGGTGCAAGTACTGTGATATCCAAGAGTTTCGTTCATGTATCTCTAAATTCCCCTGCAGGACGGCAGCACTACGGCAGAGTTCACTGCAGCCTGCCAGCGGATCCGAAACGTGAGAGATCTTATCATTATGAAGCTTGGTGCACTTGGCTGCCAGCGGTACCACTCAACGGGGAAAGAAGCCGCGGCCCTTGAGGAAGTCTACGACCAGCACGTGGCCCTCCTAGAGGCGATCATGGAGCACAGTTCGGCGCTGACACTTGCGTTCAAAAGTAGGATCAAGATATCCGTCTATTTCTTTGTGATCCAAGAGGCCTGTACAACAACGAGGGGACCACTCAGCTTCCGTCAATAGATCATCGTTCACGGCTGGTTCGAACTTTGCTTTGCGTCTCTTGAAGCGTTTGGTTGCTTGAAGGACGCAGTCTCAGGATGGTTCCAGCACAAATGGTCTCCCCTTTCAAGCAAGTTCTACATCAGCCACTGCAGTATCGAAACTCCATTCAGCGTGCTTCTCGATCTGCTGGCAAAGAACGTTCACGTTGGGTTAGATTTACTCGCTTCTACACCATCTAGGCCTTGAAGCCCTCTGTTGACCGCAACTCTTTCCTGCAGGAGGCTGCAATCTCGGCGTCGATGCTGAATTCTGGCGGAAGCATGAGTATCTGCTCCAGCAACTTCCTGAAGAAATGCGGCCAGACTGGGCCCCACTGTACGGGCGAAGATAATTGATGGAGGAGCTACTTTGCAGCATAAGATTAATCTGCTGTGACCAAGGCTAGACACTAGTTACTATGATTGCGCATTGCGATGACACAGTTACTTAGATCTGCTCGTAAGGCGTACAGAATTGTCGAAAGATACCTTCTTTCGTTTCGAGCTTCTGAATGCTTCTCAAATCACTTTCATTATTGATTGCCTTACATAAGATGCCTTTCTTTGAGATTTGCGGCCGCCCCTGCAGCAACGTGACTGCCACAGCAAGGCTCGAGAGACTAGAGGAGACGGGTTTGGTGAAAATTGAACTCGAAGTATTCGTCTGTCAGGCCGAGAAAGTAATCCTAAGCTTAATTTTATATGGCTATAAGAAGTTATAGCTGAAAGACGGGCAAACGGACAAACGGGGTAAATTGGTAATCGGGTCGTCATGACGGAACGATGCCCCACTTCTTCGCCTCTCAAGCGAACGAACCTCTGAATGTCAACGGCTGCAGTTTCCTAGCAACCTTACGGCCATTCCGATCCAATTAATTGTGCTTGTTAGCTGCTCCCTAGCCGTTATACCTTCGATCTGCAAGATTCTCGTCGTTTCTCTGTTGACACTCTAAAACCCGTTTCCCAGTAAGTATCAAGATACTGTACATCTGCTCATTTGTACTCTTGACGTCGTGAAAACGTCACGTGATTTCGACAGGGGCATATTTGAGAATCATGAGGCATTGCCTTGTAAATGAGCCGAAGAAGCTTGACTGCAAGAATCAGGCTAATGACGTCACCGCAATCAAAACTAGAAAGTGCCATATGAATATGGTCGCCGAAGGGGCATGGCTATCGCGTCTCAAGTTAACAATCTGCCGTACTAGGGTCTGAGTTCCACATTCCATGAGCATCATTTCACAAGATAGGTAGACTAACGAGCTGCTTGAATGGTGGCATGACTTACCTCCTGTTCAGAAGCTGCCAGGACTGTTTCGTGGTGCTGAGCATCATACTTTTATCTGGTCTGGGCTCTCGAGCTCCCGGCGCCGTCACTGCGCGCGCGCGCGGCCGCGGCCATAAGACAAGATTCGGCGCGAGGTTTGCGGCAGGTTTTAATGGTCGTCTATTAAGCCTGTGATCTCGAAATTGGACGTGCTGCTCATGTGCAAGCAGCAAGGCGCCGTGTTGGCTTCGTCATCAGCTTGATGAATTCTTTCAATTAAGCAGAATCAGATATGCGTAGCGCAGCCCCATTGGCATGTGGTCCTGCCCGTCTTTAGGTGCATCATTTTGTCGCTTTCGAGAACTACCACGCCAAGCCCGAGCACATCTGCCGCGCTTGCAGTATTTGAGGTGTGGCTCTATGAATCAGTTGGTGAATCATTGTGACCGCAATTAAGCAAACGAGCACAACCCCTGTGAGGTGAATACTGAGAAAACTTGCGCGTAAGTGGTCTTGTTTCCCTCATTTTGTCAGCTGGTTGTTTTTCTTGCGCATTTTTCTGCTTGATTGGACACCAGCATTGGAAAAATGGTGATCACCAAGCCGTATGCTTCATGATTAGTGTGCTTCTTTGTATTTAAAGCTCAAGAAAGCTTAAAAACACTGCATTCCTAGTCTTCCAGCGAGTTTTAGTATCAATCAAATTGTGGAGGTGGCATCTTCGCCACCTATCAGAAGATCTATGTTTGCACACACATTTAGTTGCATAGCTCAAAAGCAGGGAGAATAGCAACAAGCATATCGGTTTCCTTACATTGCTCTATGTAGGGAGTCAAGCTCTGGAGATTAGAACCTGTAACGAGCCTTGTATTGTCATTCCTGGAACCTGGAAGCTACTCCTTTTGTGAAGTTGTACTCTAAGCTCTGTGTTTGTCATCATCGGAAGTGTCTCCTGGAAATAGTCAAGGAGTAGGCCTGAAAGGAACCTGCTGTTTGCAGGCTGCCGGGCGCATGACAGCTGTCTCTTTTTTGGTGGAAGCGGGTCTCCACAACACCAGACCATGGAGGATACGGACTGGGCCGGCGAGGAGCCTGTTCAAGATGTACCTGATGACACCCCTCCTTCAGACACTGCAACCAGGTTCCAGGACTACGAGAGCCACAGCCCGACCCCTCAAACCCTCAGAAGCCCCCCAACTCCTCAGACCCCTGAAGCCCGAACCCCAGGTTCTGCAAGCCCCCTTGGCACTTTGAATCATTCTCCTGGGCCCCCGACTCCCCACTCTCCCCCCGGTGGACGTCAACTGGCAAAAGGGGGGGTGGACGATGAAGGCCTGCTTTCAGGGGTATGCCCAATCTGCCTTCAGCCGGTGGACGGGGAAGCATACCTGGACCCCTGTTTCCACCGCTTCTGCTTCAGCTGCATCCTGCAGTGGTCCGAAATGGGCGTCCGAAGCGGCGTCCCCCCCTTCTGTCCGGTCTGCAAGGGCCCCTTCTTCACGATCATCCATGACTTCCGAGGGACGCAGTTCAAGCGGTACGAGGTTCTGGGGGGAACGAGCAGCGTCCGGTTCCAGCTGTCCGAGAAGCACGTGCTCCGACGTGCGGTGTACGAAAAGGGGGCGGAAGCGTCCGCACAGTATAGGGCTTCTGGGGGGAAAGCATTCGCCGGGGGTAAGAGAGGAGGAACGAGCAGGCGCTGGTTAAGATGCTGGGTTAGGAGAGAGTTACAGGCGTTGTTGGAAGAAGAGGACGTCGAAATGGTGGCGCTTCACATTGTGGGGAGCGTCGAGTTGCTCGCGGAGCAACGGAGGCAGCGGCAGAAGTTTGGGAAGAACGCGAGACCACTGCTTGGGGGGGGCAGCGACAGCGAGGGGGGGTGCGAGGGGCTCGTGCGAAGGGTGTGCCGACCGCCCCCCCGGAAGGAGAAGAAGCTGGTGTTTGGGAAGACGAGCCTGGTGCTCTCGAAAGCGGGGCTGGCGCGGCGCAAGGCGCGGAAGGGAATCAACGGGGCGGTGCGCGTAGCGCCGCTCCCTGAGAAGAAGACGAAGAAGCGGGGCAGTGTGACTTCGGAGAGTGGGAGAAGTGGACACCGAGTAGAGAAAGAGTCTGGGAGTGCGGAGAAAGAGGGCAAGCGAAAGCAGGAGTTGGCGGCGGAGAAAGTAATGAGGTGGCTGGAGAACGGACAGGGACACCCAGGAGAGGGGTTGGGGCAAGATACTGACCGGGCGGGTTTGGCAGACTCGGGCCAAGGGAGTGCGGAGCACCCCCCTGGAGTGGGTAGCGATGGGGCGCAGGGTGTTTCGGATGCTGGAGACGCCAGCGGGGCAGAGGCAGTAGGAGCGACTGAAGAGTTGGGAGGAAAGGCCCCGAATGTGTCCGAAGGGGTGACAACAATGTCGGTGCAGGGGCGGAAAGATGAGGCAGAGGGCATTGCGGGGCAAAAAGCAGGTGACGGTGGGGGGGTGGGAGGAAACGTGAACGGTGAAGGACTTGGAGGAGGTGGTCAAATCAGGGAGGTCGAAGGGACCGCAGCCGGGGGCGGAACGCAGCTCAAAACGGAAGGGACCGGTAGCGAAGAAGAGGTTTCAAAAGAGAGGCCTGGGGGAACCGTGGAGGTGTTGACACCAGCAGAGGAGAGCCCACCGGCAGGCGGTGTGAATGAGGAGACTCTGCAACCGGAAGCCGTTTCAGCCGAGGATGAGGAGTGGCTCCGAGTCGTTGCGGCCGCAGCCCGCCCGTTCATCTTCGAAAACGCGCACATGTTCGCTACGGAGTTGCTGGCGTTTCTTAGCTCGGGGCTGGACATCGCGAGCTACGACGTGGCCACTCTCCCGGCGCCACCTGGCGCAAGCCTAGTGGCCGCTGAAAGCGGGTCGGATCTGCGGCAGGGGGGTGACGACGAACTGGGAGGCTTTGCGCAGAGAGCGGGTCACGATGAGAGACCGTCGGAAGACATTGCGTCTCTCAAGCGAGCAATCGAGGAAGAGAACGAGGGGGATTATTATGTGGAAGGGGGATTGCGAGCGGAAAGACAGCGGAAGAAAAAGAAACGGGTCGAGTACGGGTCTCTCTGGACGGCGGCAAAAGAGGATCTAGATGCGTTGCCGAGGGCCGATGAGGGGGGTGTTTTGGGTGCGGAACTGCCCCCCCAGAGAAAGGAAAAGCGGCGGAAGAAGAGGCGGGAGGAGGAGGGGGGAGAGGAAGGGCGGCCGAAGAAGCAGAGGCACAGCGACAAGGTAATCTGACCGCCTTTGACGTCTCTAGATTACTTCTGAACGTCCAGATGCTTGCTGAAGTTTTCAGGAACGCTTCCTGCTTAGGAAACGCAGAGCGGCTCTTTTGAGTAGAATCGCACTGTCGAAGCCGACTTGTTAAGGGAGAAGACAGCCGATTGCTCCCGGTTGCATACAGGAGGCACCGAAGTCTCGTCGAGCTGTCTAAAAGAGTGCTGTCCTGGACCGTTGTCATTATAGATCGCTTTATCTGTCCCGTGGATCTTGGTGCCATATAAAATGAAAGCAATTTCATGAGTACGCTGATTCTTCCGAAGTAACTACCACCTACGTCTCTGGTAGCTTTGCCCCAAACTGCATACCTTTGTAACATCCTGACTGTACCAATCAGCATTAGTTGAAAGGCGTTTTGAGAGACTGCGGGTCATTCGAAAAAGCAGACCTGGGTAGGAGCGCAGGTTGTCAAGCACCCGGGTAAACCGGGATGCTGATCCGATGTGTTGTTGGGATGAACGGGTCGAGTGAGAGCCAGTCAAACGCCATTAGTTTCAGCTTCAAGAAATGGAAGGCCATATTGCTTCAAGTCCGATGGTTCGCTTGGTGAAACCCATTAAGCTTAAACACTGCTTCTTCTGAGTTGGCGGTCCGCGGCCGTTCACGACCAAACGAACAAAGTCGCAACTTGGGCTTAACCAAACGAACGCTTCATCTATGCAGGCAGAAGACGACAGCGACTTCGAGCGGCGGCAGCACCGCAAGCGGCGGCGGCGGCGCGACCGGCACAGGCGGCACCGCGCGGAGCGCTCCGACTCGGTCGACAAGAGCGACTCGAGCCTCGAGAAAGCGGTGCACGCGTACCGGAAAAAGCTGCGTCAGCGGAAGAAGGACGGGCGGCGGATGAGCGACGGCCTGCCGCTGTCGAGCACGGACGACGAGGCGGAGGGCTGGGCGGATTGGCGGCGGCGGATGAAGAAGCTGTACCGCTTCTGCAAGACGGAGGTGGAAGAAGAGAGCGAGGAAAGTGAATGGGGCGAGGGGGGGGTCAAGAGCCCACCGGCCATCCGGGGTGGGGGGCTTTCTGAGGGGAAGGGAAGGGGGGGGGGATGCGGGAGTGGGCGGCGAGAGAGGGGGGTTTCAGAGAGGGAGGTTTTGGAGCAGGGGCGAGGAGCAAGGAGAAGAGACGATGGAACGCGGAGTGTGGATGCAGAGTGGTTCGGGGAGTCGCAGAGAGAGAAGAGGAGAGAGAAAGGGACGGACCCGAGTTTGGATGAAAGATATGAAGCGAGAAGCAAGCAGATGGGTGTACCAGATGACCGTCGGGGCGGGGTGGCGACAGGGTCGGACAGTTATGGCAGGCGCGGGCCTGGTGACGTGGCGGCAGCGGAGAGCCGTCCCGGGAGGGGTCGCTTCGGTGACGTCAGCGAGCGTGGCGATGACGTCAGCACGGCGGCTGGAGCGGGCGGTCTGCCACGGCGGGGGGGTTTGAAGCGCTCCTGGGGGGAACAGGACGAGGGGAGGGGGGCGGCGCAAGACGGGTCCGGCAAGAAGCAGGCCCGCGTGCGATGGGAAGACGAGGAGTCTCTGGAGTGCCGTCGCCCCGAGACTGTTTTGCAGAAGGTGACGGCCAACGCATCTGCAAAGGGTTCCGGCGTTCGAGAGAGCGAACGCTGGAACGGTGGAGAGCGGAATGACGGGTACTGGGAGCGTTTTGTGAGGGTTGAGGAGGGCAGGGAAGAGGTGAGGGGAGGGGAGACGAGGCCGACTTTGGCGGAGCCGCGGCGAGGATCAGCCGAAGGTGCGGGGGCGCGGAGAGTGGTGCAAAGTTTGAGCGACCTGGAGAGGGGACGCAAAGGGGGCGAGGAAGGCAGCCATTATGAGGGCATCGCGGGGCAGGTACGATCACTTCGAGGGAGAGTTACAGTGCGGATTGCAGGGTTTGCTTGTATTCAACGGGTCTCAAAGGATATTCTGAGGCTGCTCTTCTTAAACCACGCTCCACTCCTTTGACTTTAGCAATTGAAAGTGTTGTTCGACACCAATCTGCAAGCTGGTCCAGAAGCTGGTTAAGCTTATGAGGTCAACTCGGTCCCAAAGTTTGGATCCAGAATGAATGTAGAGACTATTCTACCTGAGAAGCGTGACCTGTGGGCTGATCCTTCTCCAAGATTTACGTCTGTCTATCATCTTATCAGAACGACGCCGTACTCCCTTGGCATCGAATTCAGGCGTCGGGGAATTGCTTCTCTTCAGGGGGCAATTGACCGAGACCCCACGAGACCCCCACGGCATGGGTACCTGGCTTTGATAGTTGCCTTCGCCCCACTAACTTCGCTTTCCTCCCATTCATGGCGCAAGCGACGGAGACGTCGCCACCTCCTCGGAACGCAAACTGGGCAACGAGGAACTGCCTTTGTAACACTAACCCGACTTCTTCTTTCCAGGACGCAAACAACGGGGCCGCCGCCACCCCCTTAGAACGGGAGCTGGGCATCGAGGAGCTGCAGGCAGAGCTCCAGGAGGTGGAGCTGCGGAAGCGCGCACTAGCCAGCCTCTCGCACTTCCTCAAAGCCAGAACCAAGGTGGGCACCGCGCCGAACTCCCCAGCCAGGGGGGCCATTTCAACCGGACTTTCTCAGCGGGGGGGCGCAGGAGCGGATGCAGTACAGGGGGGGCGTGCCGAGGCTAGTGGGCACCTTGGGGGGGGCGTGCGGGGACGGACGAAAGTTGCCGGGGGGGCAAAAGATGTTGGGTTGGGGCGGGGGGGTGCTCTCGCTGGGAGCGGTGTGCAGTCGGTGGGGGGAGGAGTTGGGCGGGCAAAAGTTGCGGGGGGTCTAAAGGTGGGGGTGACGAGGAAAGTCACAGCGCCAGGGTCGGTAGCTGGAGCAGTGATAGGACTGGGGAGGTGCACAAATGCGAAGGGTGCGCCTATGAGAAAGGTTGTGGGGACGGGCGTGTTGCAGCGGCCTTCGGTGAAAGCTGCGCAAGCTGCGGCAGCAAACTCGCCGAGCGGGCCTCGTTTGGCGGCACCACGAATTGCGCAGCAGCTGTTGGCCAAGGGGGACGGGAGTCCCATGCGAAAAACAGGGCCCTCGGTCAAGAAAACGCCGGCGACAGGGGGAATCCTAAAGCAAGGGGAGGGGCTTCGGAGGCGGATCTTCCTCGCTCCTCAGGGGGTAGGTGTTGCGAACAGGGGAGGCGGAGTGCAGCCTTCGGGCCAAAAATGCGTTGTCGTTAGGACTGCAAAGGGTTCGGCGGCAGTAAAATCCAGCGGACCGGTTCTAGTCAAGCGACCGCTCGTGCAACCGGAACCAACAATTGGCGGGCAGCAGAAGCTGCCACCTGGCGGGCAGCAGAAGTTGCCACCTGGCAGACCTCAGAAGTCGGCACTGCCAGTCGAAAGGGGAAGCCAAGGGCCGCCAATCCGCCCGGTTGTAAGCACGCCGGGAAGTTCTTCTGTGAGACGGACGGTTCTCGCAAAAGGTGCCGTCACAGGGAGCGGAAAGCGAAAGGCTCCGCCCGAGGCCGGTGAAGGGATACCGGGCCAGGTCGGTGCAAACGTACCAGGACAGCCTGTCCAAAAAAGCGCCCCTGTCGGCAACCGGTTGGTTGCCCCGAGCTCGAAAACGCAAACGGTGGTTCCTGCCGGGTCCGGCAGAAACTTGCAAGGGCCGGCGCCTTCACCAGCCCGGTTGAACCCCCCGGGCACCAAAAGTGGGCCAACTGCGGCGACGACAAGGTCGGTACAAGCTAAACAGCTCCCAGACTTCCCTAGAAAAGCGGCCCAGTCATTTGTGCCTGATGTGAACAGCCGCCCGAAGGTGACGCCGCCCACTCTCGTCAAGCCACGTGTCGTCCAGGCCCCCATGACGTCACCAACCAACCGTAGCCCGCCAGGTGTCCCAGCAAAGCTGCAAGGGGTGCGGCCGCAGGCGAATCCCGATGCGGGGCTGAAACCGACGGACGACCGAAAGCGTCCGATTGTTGCGCCTGGTGCGAACGCCCAGAAACGGACGGTGACGATTGCAGGTGCGGCGACTGCGCCGAAGATACTGGTTTCCTCATCAGCGGCGCGGAGCGTACCGGCAAAGCCCGGCGTTGTGGCAAACGCTCCCCTGAGAGCCCCGGCAATTTCCGCCCGCAACCCCTTAGCCGCTCCACCTCGGAGTTTTGCACCGAGCCCCCCTTCCGGATATCCCGGGCAGTCGTACGGACTGAGTCGCCCCGGGAGCAACAAGTGGCAGCGGAGCCCCGGGGCGGCCCAGCCCATGCAGTCCCCCGTGACAGTGCCCCGGAGCAAGAATCTGCAGTGGGTGCGGAAAGACGCACAGCCGGGTACAGCGGTTGCAACGAAACCCGGGCTTGTTTCGAAGGCGAGCACTACTCCAAATCCTCCCCCCGGGAATAAGCTGCCGAGTTCCGCGACGGGGGGCGTTAGGAGGCCGGGGGTCGCATCCGGGGTTGCGAAAGTCGGACGGAGCATGGGGAAAGGAGAAGCGGGACGGAGGCAGGATGGTGATGTCCGGGGGCCCGTGTCGCTCGTGGGAAATTGCGTCGACAAAAAGATCATATTGGTTGAATCGAAGAGAAGCGAAGAGGCGAAAGACTGTACAGCAGGCACGGAAATCAAGCGTTAGAATCTGAAGGATTAACCCCAGGTGTTCAGTAAGTTGCTGCAATCGCATGAATGCTGGCGCGCACAACATTGAGTGGCAACATGCTCAGCAGGACTGGAGAAGACCGACATTCCAAGGCCTGCAACCACAGCTTCGCAAGCAACTTCGACTATTGTGCCGTAATGCTTGATACCCATGTTAACGGCCTAGTGCATGGTTGCCTTTAAAGCTACATTAAGGAATCCAGTTGATTTAACCGACGAGCATGTACAGCCGCCTAGGGACTCCCGCGTGAATGCATGCAACTCTTTAACGGGCTCGAGGCTGGCGAAATGCGCAAGGGGCGCACATGTCGAGTCGGGCGCGTATCGGACCGTCTCATCATGGAAATCCCGCTAGCTTTGGGTGCACACATGTGCTGTGCAAATTTTAAGTTTTGCGAAGTTTTGTGGTAGTCAAGACTATGTATATGTCACACATGGTGTATCGAAATCGAAATCGAATAATCATATAGACTGACATGTATATATGTAACGCATGTAACGCTTTCGACAAATTGCATCGAAGCTGTCTCGCGATGGTTCACGACAGGCAAGAACATAGGAAATCGACACGTGTCCACGACATCCCTTTTAGGAGTTGAGTCCCGAAAGACTGACGTTCCTGCCAGGACTCGAACCCTGGACCTCGAGGCTCGAGCCGTCCGACCAAACTCTTTGCCCACTGGGCTAAAAAGAGCACGTACGTTT